TTGAATAAATATTTTCTCGGATGCAAAAGAGAAATAAAATTTTTTGTACTGCTGGTATGTTAAATTTCACAGAAATGAAGAAATTCGTTTTTTTTTTTTAAAACGAAAGAAAAGTTAATTAAACCCATATAGATTTTTTACGAAAATTGTCCACAAAAAAAATGACAACTAATATACTTTCGTTCGCGGGCCGAATGCAGCCCGCCAGTTGGTAACCACTGATCTAGAGCAGTATTTTTCAACATGATTGGCTCGAAAGACTGATAAAGTATTTAGTGTTTTATTGCTGGTAAGCTAGGATAATAGTTGGGACTATTGGCAGAATATTTACGTATACGGTCGAACTCGCTTATAACGAGTGCTATACTTGTTCGTATTAGTGCTACTAGATGGTAATATAGTAATTTATACATTTTTTTTTTATTTCTGTTCAGTACAAAAGAAGTTAATATGCTTTGAACTTTATTATATAACCGTTATTGAACAGCCGACCCAATTTTGTGTTTACGACTACTAATGTTCAACTCCGTAGCTTTGTAATTTTGAACCAATCTAGAATACAAGGAAACTCCAGGATCAGTACCCCCAGTGATATTGATTTGTTATGGGAACATGGGGGACTTTACAACTCGACAGATTTAAGTAATAGCTACACAAACACATGTACAGATTTCAGTAATAGCTATCTTTTAAGATAAATCGCTCTAGGAATGATGTTTTTTCCTTTATTTTTTGAAAGAACATGATAAAAACATTTTGCATTTTAATAAAATATGACTGTGAGTGAGGATCTTGTTACAAATTCGGATATTCGTAACACCATGAAATGGTGTGTGTGTGTGGGGGTTAATTCCATTTAATAATGGGTGATAATTCCATTTTAACACTAAGATTTTTTCGGCAATCTAAATCCATGACTTGCCAAGATTTCTTAAAAAAATAGTTAAAATCTTGACATTTCACAACAAATTTTGTTCAATACCAAAATTCATGAATTTCCAGGAACGTAGATACCCTGTTAATAGCTACACATGACTACCATTAAAGGTACTGCATCAAAGGTAACATTGACCTCATGACACATTAGGTCAATTAAATGGGGTTTAACAATTGAGTGAGCCAAAAAAATGTGATTTTCTTTCGGAAAAATACCCTAAGTCATATGAACCTTGTAATAATGAAACTCATTATTTCAATTCATAATAACAGTCAAAGCTCCAATAAATGGTTATTTATTATAAAATATTTAAAATAAAACGACATAAGCATACAAAGCATGTATAATATAGAACAATATTGCATTTATTATAGAGCTAAAAAAAAATAATTTGATTATCAAATAAAAGATTTTACGAAACAAACATACATTGTAGCTAAAACTTGCTTCTTTTTTAAGCAAATAAATACGGCAAGACTTAACACAAATAGTGTTAAATACAAGAAAATTCAAATCTAACTACATATCTCAGCAGTCTCATATTGAGATAAAAATATCGGATTGTTTGAAATTACATATTTTAGAAAAATAATAATAAAAAAAAAAGAGTACTGAATACAAATCTACTACACCCACTTCGCTTTCGGGGATGGATTAATCATATATTTACATATTTTCATTAAAAAATCTAATTATATATACATACATTTGACTTCATTTACAAAAAAAAAAAAAAAAAAATGAAGGACTCATTGTGATATAATGATAAGCCACCTGAAAATGTATAGAAATTGTGTTTCAAAGTTTTTAAAAAGCTAATCATTGTAACATAAATACATTTATTGATGTCGTATACATTGTATTTTTTTCATAAATAGAGAATTTTGTTCAACAAAAATTAATTCTTAAAGATAATTAGGATATTATGAGAACATTGTTATACATTATGTACAAATGTACAGTTTGCATGGTACATGATCTTTCAAAGTTAAAACTAATTTATTTTACTTTAATGGTATATTTAAAGGTATAGATGCATTCAAAAAAATAATTTTTATCTGGATTTATATACATATATACATGTATATATACGGTAAATTTTGTTTGATATTGAAAATATAAAATTGAAGAGCAGCAGAGATGCACTGGTGGTATTATAAAGCAACAATGACTTTTTTTAAACTGTTTAGTTTCTTTTTTGTTGTTGCTTGATTTACTATCAATAGGACTAAAAGCAATCTGATTTGAAGAGTTAATTATCAAGGTGCATAGCCAGATTTTTTTTTTAAAAAAAATAAGCACCTTTTAAGTACTTTTTAAGCACTCAAAAATATTTTTAATCACTTAAAAAAAATCATAATTAGGATCTGTGCAGAAGTAAAAGTTATTTTTTTCGATCATTTAAAGTTCTCTATTTATAAACATAAAATCAATAAAATTCAAAAACATTTTCAAAAACTTTACATTATCATTAAAAAGTAACTACTTTCTAATAAATATTGCAGAAAAAATCGTGAAAATCATGCATTTTTTGTAAAGTAGAATGACAATCGGCATGATAAAGAAAAAATCTCTTTTTAAAGATAGAAAATGAAGCAATTCTTACAAACCCAGAGTAAAAAAAAGTACCTTTAAGGGCTTTTAAAAAACGTAAATCAGAAATAAACACTTTTAAGAGCGTTTTAAAAACGCTACGCACCCTGATTATGGCAATTTTACTTGCTTTGGCAGTTTTATATATCTTGTCAATTTGCTAAGAAAGTATGGCACCATCTCACAAGGATTATACAATTTTTACAGTAACTTGTTATACTGTCACTTAATTCAGAATAAGACAGTAGAAAATGTGGTACAAAAATAATGCTTTAACTTCAAGTGAAAGGATTGTCATAGACTGTAAAAGAGGTGCACGAAAGTGGAAAAACATTTTTTTAGAAGTTTGAAAAAGAGAAACATTATAAAGAACAGTAATTCTTTTTTGGATGCTGAAAAAAAGTTAGGACTGGCACTTCTAAACATGTGCTGCAATTGTGGCTAGTCATTATCTTCCAATTAGCTCTTCAAATATAGTTAAAAAAAAGAAGTCACTTTAGATAAATTCTAAAATCAAAAAATATCATACATACAACTAAATATATTAAACAACTAGCATTTTACATTTACACTTTTTTTTCATAAGGTAATTATTTTTCAATTACCTTTAATAAATTTTTTACAGGGCCCTGTAATAAATTTCAAAGCATTTATCTGTTTCCGCACAAAATTTGTTTAGCTTATAATTTTTTAATTATGGATTTTTTTTTCATAAAGAAACCTTGTTTAATATGTTCAGTGTCCAGGTGTAATAAAAACAGCAACTACAATGGGTGTAAAGAAGACAGATGTATCACTAAGGCAACATGCATCGATAAAAACGCAAAATAAATTTCAAAAACTGGAATTACTTTCGGTTCCAAGGAAGTAGGAATATTTTTTAACGAACAGTTTTGTAAAATTTTGATTCTTGGGGTTGAATACTAAATAACTGAAGAGCTGAATAAAATGACATGTTAAGTTACATTTCAAAATACTAGTCACAGATGGTAGTTAGTATAAAACCCAACCAAATTTGTTTCTTTCGCATGTTTTAACTATTGCTGGAAGAGCTCATTCAACAATTTCAGTCTGTAGATTGAAAATCTGTTTTGAAAAACATCCACAACTTCAGCAATAAAAACAGTTTCTGATTGATTTCATATTAAACCTAACTTCACTTTAGAACATTAAAGAAAGTTTTTTGTAAGTTAAATGTTTTAAAGATGCATCAGGGTTTATAGCAAGTATAATCAACCTCAAGGCCGAGAACCACATGGCACTGTTTCTCTTAGTCGTAAAAAACACTTGTTTTCAGAAAAGAACAGATATTTCAAGAACTTTGTGACTCAGATATTTCAATAAGTACAAAAGTATAACTTCTCAAAACACTAAAATTTATTTCCCTAAACTATTCAAAGCTTGGCATATTTGCATGCCTCTTACATAAACATTAAAAAATATATATATTTTTTGGGGTCTATGTAATTTTGTAACAGGTTCTGTGTAATTTTTCAGCACTCTACCACCCATTGTGTGCCATTTTTCATTTTACAAATATAAGAACGGAAAAGCTTGAAAAAATTTTCAAAATTTTCAATTGTATGATCCTTAAGTTAACAGAAGGTATATGTTACTAAAAAACTACTGGAGCAAATTACATTAAATATCACAGACATATATTTCAGACCGTAAGAATGCATTTCCGTAAATGTAATGTTCATACCGTATATCTGTAAATGTGAGATTGATGCGCATGTAAGGTTGATACAAAAGTATTATTGTAAAAAAAAAATGCACTGAAAGATGTACATCAATTTAAACAACGAAATTTATAATGTTAAAACGTGAAGAAGTTTTTCTGATGGAAAAACCCAGACTTGATTTAATTTAAATGGTTAAAAGCAAAGAAAGAAGCCACAGCAGAAAAAATAATTACAAAGCTGAACTGCCTTCTAATAAATAATTTGCAGGAACAAAATAAAGATTTAAAAACTTAATAATTGATTAAAACTTTTTATCTAACTTGAACTTTGAACAAATAAAATTTAATTTTAAAGATAAAAAAAAGAAAAAGAAAATTTTAATGTTTTAATAATAAAAATGTGTTTTAAGTTTATTTTATTTGGGTTTAAATATTGATATACAAAGATTTCCGTAATCACACTCTTTAATATATTTTTGGATTCCTTGTCATAAATATAATGAAAAAACATATGCTTAAGGTGTCGCAACTTATTATTTAAGCCTTTTGCGCCTGCTGATGTGCTGCAGCCTGTAAATGTCTCACTTCCTGATCGGTACACCAGCATGCGAGAGTGCTTTCTTGTTCACTCCTAGCCATTACATATTTTGTAACAGTGTTTTGGAATGTTTTAAGATCTATAATTTTTGGTAGAAGATGGCATTGCATTTCCATAGGATTTGAGATACATGTAGATTTAACCTTCTTAAACTGAGACATATATGTACACGGTTTTTGAATGTATAAATGTTGGAATGTTGCCGAATAGCAAGCTCTATGTTGGCTCTTTAAAATGAGCACAGGGTATAACTCAAATTATAAGAATATTTGAAAAAGTCAATATTAAGAAGCCTCTTACCTTATTTGTTTTTATTTTCTGTCATTTAATTACAAATTTAACAAGCCAAATCTGCATGTATCAGACTATTTTTATGCATTGAAGTAAAATTATAAAAATTGAAAGCTAAAAACATCAAAAGTCATTAAATGGTAAATAAACACTGAAAAAAAATTTGTTTAAATGTAATAAAACAAGAAAAAACTTAAGTAAATAAAGTATATGAGTAAAAAATATATGTAGTATAACTTGTTTATCTACTTTACAGTAAAATATTGAAAAATAAATTCATATTTCAGTAATTTTATGTATTTAGGCTTAACAGCAATAAAGGCGCAATTGCAACTCCCATTGCAAAAGGGTTAAAAAAGGAAAAACTCATCATATGTTCAATCACTAGTAAGGAAATTCCATCAGGTAATCAAACTGGTTTTCATAAAAAAAACCCATCAAAAACTGTTTGAATAACTAATGGAATTTGGATGTGTTTTGAATAGTCGCCTTGCAACTGCTCTCGGCTTCCTCAAGCAATTCACCGGTTTTGATGTTTTCAGCACCACCTTTCTCAGTACTGATAAGGTAGATTTTGATAGCGTTTTTGAAATTTCCTTCCTTAATTATTAACGTTCGACTCATAATTTGTAAACGAGCCTACTTCTTTAAATGAATTTTTAAAAAGGCTCCGAAAAATTTACAATACGAGCAGACATCATGACTCTGTATAATCAATGTATATATATATTTCTTAAGAAAAGTTGTCAGATAATTTTGAATTCAAACAATACTTATTTTAAAATTTCATTTTAGTTTTAAATTAAAACTACTTTTAACTGTACAAATCTCTATTTTTTTTACAATTTGAGATAAACAATACATTTTCAGGATTTAGCTAGTTAACAGTATTTAACTTGTTAACAATCAAATTTTTCAGATTGCATTCTCACAATGATCTCAAATGTTCAACTACTCGATTGCACCCAGTTTGGTCCAGTAGTTTTCTAGCAAAATCCTTCCAAACACACATAATTTTTGGATCCCGACCTTTCAAATTGATTTTTGTATGACTTTAGAAGGCCTTTTTTCAATTATTTTTAAAGGCACATTCATTTTAATAATATTCAATAAGGGTCATTGCCAGAGTGAAAGATTAGACAATAAGATCATTTCCCGTAACCTGCTCCGATTCCACATTCTGGCTTGAGGTGTTATTAATAGAGAGCTGTACTGGAGGCAGCAGAGGCTCCTCATCCGAGAACGGCTGCCCGCCATCCGCAGCCACGGAAGCGACGTTAGTCGAACCGGAGGGAAATATTATGGCCAGATCCTGCAAAACTCTCTGCCTATGTATTTGTAATGCTCTTCTCACTGCAAGGCTATGAATAGCAGGAATTCCCGGAGTGTCATCAGGGTCAGTTGTGGTACCTGAATAGGATGCTGGACGTTCCGGTGCCAGTAGAGGGGTATTTTCGCCGGAGCGAAGTACCCTGTCCGACCTAGTCATGGTGGCATAAGCAGCCGAAGATGATCCAGGACGAGATGACAGCAGAGGTGTGTTTTCAGCTGGGGATGTCATCTCGGAATCGTCTGAATCACTGTCATCACCAGAGTCTCCAAACGTGATTTTTCGTTTGCACAGAGGGCAATTTCTACGATTGTGCATTAACCAAGGATCAATGCATTTTGTATGATATGCTAAAATTATAAAATAGAATTATTATTATTTTTAAAAAAAATACACACAATCATCACACATAGGAACATGGATGGGAAACAAAACGCAAAAACTAGATTCATACCTGCCAACATCGGAGAATAAAATAACGGAGATTTCACTAACCTACCCAGTTCTTGGGTTTACGACTACTAAAGTTCAACTCCGCAGCCTTGTAATTTTGAACGCAATCCAGAAGACAAGGGAACTCCTAGATCAAGTATTGGGAGAAATTTACTTCATGGAGGACTTTTTGATAGAACTAGCCCGCATTTGAGTTACATGTTGAAGAAAACCACGAAAACCATCCACAGTTAGCCTGACAACAAGGGGACACTAAACTGTGATCCGTCTACCGCTGAAGATATTTCACTTTAGCACTGTGGTAGGCGCAAGCCAGATGCGGAATTCATATCGACTAGCCATCGCTGGGATTCGAACCTGGGTTCACCTCATTGGAAGGCGAATGCTCTACCCCATGAGCCATTGCAACTCGACTTAAACAATTAACACTCACCATACTGCAGTACTGGTAATTGCACCATCTGTTGAGGAATAAGAGAAGTATGTTTGCCATCAGTGGATATTTGATCACCAAAAAAAAAAAATTCTTTTTGAACTTCTTCAACAAATGCAGAGAAATTTGAGAATATGCAGGTAAACAGGAGATAGTCGTTGTTGTTGTGGCTTATCCTCCAAATGCCTGACGAAGTCAGACAAAGTCCATCAGACGGTTGACCCTAAGGAAATCAAGGACCAGGAGGGAGGTTGAGTACATGTCCTGTCTGGAAAGTCCCAAGCAGTCCAGGATGTGTTCGGAAGAAGCCTGCTCAGTTTGACATTTGGAGCAGACCTCGAAGATTCTCCTGACTACGAAAAACGAGATACTTTTTTTGCAACTGCTTGCTAATCTGGAAATTGCAATCTAGAGATAGTCGTAAAATGCAGGAGTCTTCAATAAAAAACAGGAGACTTGGCAAGTGTGTTGATTACTCTTATAACTATACAAATTTAAAGTGACTGCAATATTTTCAGTTTATGCCTAGTTTTATAAAATATTCATGATGAATTTTGCTTAACCAATGTGGTGATACAAACAAAGTAAGTCCAGTCACACAATTAAGTGCAAAATCATCCTGACAGGAGATTTCCCTACTTACTAACTATGGCAAAAACAGGTGACACCAGCTCATTAAAAACAAAGTATGGCTGGTCAAAGCCAAAGAAGAATAATAGCTCCAACATTTTGTCGGAACTCTACGATATTTGTGCAAAAATAGCTAGTTTTTAGACCCAGGAGAAAGATACAAAAAACCCCGGAATTTCGGGGTACTCCCGGAATACAATGACCTCTGATTATCATCTAGTATTTTTTTTTATGACTAAAAATAATTTTACAAGTGCAATTAAATTTAAGTAATGTAGGAAAAATCTCTGCGAAATGCTTAAATTGGTACACAGAATGAAATGGATCACAGATTTAGCTTATGTTTTATGGCTTGTTTTTGAGTAGCAATCAGAACACCATGATAAACAAAATTGAAAGAATTTTGTACAAACCATGAGAACAAGGCAAGATTCTTAACTTATCTCCTTCATTGTAATCCTCTAAGCAAATTGCACAAACATCATATTGATCACCTAGGGGGAAAAATTCCTTTTAAATAAATAACTACAGTTGTTTAAACACTGCAAAAAAATTCAAGTAATTTTTTAAAAGCACTCAAACTGTTTTTTTTTCTATTTAAGCAAACTAAAATTACTAAACAGATGGAAATGAACACCAATCAGTCTAGATTCGGGTGAAGATTCCCAGGTGACACCAGTTACTCTTAAAAGGGTTTAAGCCTATTTTTTTTTTACATTTTCTTGCAGTTTCTTCAGCACATGTCCTCCTTGATAATTTATTCTCAAGGAAAACACCCAGGTAGCAAAAGAACGAGAAGGACATTTTCATTTATCTTTGGATAAACGAATTTTATAGTTGTCTAACAGATACGCATAAAAACTTTCGAAGATGTAGCAAAATATGCAAAAAGTAAAATTAATATTAAGCAGCTCAAGTTTTTGACTGCTTCACTGCCTAAACTTTAGTGGTCCTATTTTTCAGATTGAAGCAATCTCCCATATTTTAATGGTCAAAACTTCAAATCTGTTGGGGAAAAAAAGTATAGATATTGAGAGAAAGTATGTCTTTGTGTTTGATTTCAGAACTTAAATTATCGTCTGCACTAATTAGCATATTCAAGATCAATCTCCCTTTGAACTATTAAGATTTGCACTACGTAGAAATCTGATAATTAGAACAACAAAGGTTATGCGGGGAGATATCTTATTTTATCATTTATTTTTCCTTTTTTAATTTAACTTTTATTTTTGTCCTATTATACCATGAACTGGAAAACAAGTCTCAATAATCAGTTCCTTATTACTTAGATAAATAGTTTTAAAGAGAAAAAAAATTAATATGGCTCTAATTTGAATTTTATTTCTTTGAAATTATTCAGTAAATTTAGATAAAATCTTTAATTCCTTCATTTAAATTTACCCAGTTTTCAATAGTGCAAATTTTTTATACCAAACACTAAATTTTTTTTATCATTATTCAATTATGTAACAGTTAATAGAATACACTATTTATAAGTTATAAGAATAAGTGAGAAAAAATATTTTGATTTATACAATAAGTTCCAGAGAAGTAAAAAAAAAAAAGCATTAATCTATACCTAATTATTCTTATATACAAAAAACATGAGCACATGAACAAATAAGTATTAATCATAAAAATATAGCTCATATAGCTTTATTAAAAATAAATGAAAGCTTAGTGCATAGAATTAATACCATGCAAAAGTTACCTTTAGTGAATTTGGCAGTAGGTATTTGCTTTATTTGACGACTTGACAACCTATTCCGACGTCTGCGCCTTCTTTCTTGGATACACTTAATGAGCTGAAATAAGTATGAAAAGAACTAAAACTTTGCAATTGAAAAAAAATTATAATTGTTCAGTTTTACTTGAACTTTCATTAGGTATTTCAACAGTGCCCTCGGCTGAGCAACATTTTAATTAGTTAATTGAACATCAATTCTCCTCCTAGCCACTCGTAGCTTTTCGATTGTTAATTAGAGCTTACTACGATGTAATAATTTATAATTATGTAAATATTTAATAATTAAAATTTTCACAGTCATTACTTATTGCAATTGCCGTCAATAAGCAATAGATAACCAGCGCCTTTAAATTTGTATAAAAGTGTTTCGGTCTATCTCACCGAAGTTAATTTTGATTTTCATAAGCAAAGGCAGTGGAATTACATAAATGCTTCAGCGGCTCAAATTAAAAATAATTAAACAGGCAGTTTTTTGTGCTTATGCATTTTTGTAAATAACTGAATAGATAGTTTTTGTGTGCATAAACATAAGTATATGAACTAAAATAACAAAAGAATAACAAAAATCATCGAATTCTCTAAAAGTGAGAACATTGATAAGATATTAATAGATCTGAAATAAACACTTTAGAATTCATAAAAGTTCAACTTGAAGAATAACATGTGGACTATTATTGTGTTGTGCAAGACAACAAACTGCAAGAAATTGATGATATATAATAAACAATTGAAGAAGAGATCAAATGATTGAGAACATAGTTTTACTAACTGTTTTCAATTAACAGTGTTATTCGTTGAAGAAAATTGTAACTAGTTTTTAATGATAGAATAAATACCTAGTTTGCAAAGTTGATCCTTTAATTGATATTTCAAATAATCAGTTATTTTCTGGGTAAAAAAAAAATATTTTAATTTAAAACTTTNCTTTATTCATTCATATATATATATATATAAAAGAAAGAATAATTTTTATCACACCAGCTTGCTGATAAGTATAATTGACGAAGTGGGTGTTTAAAAACTGAACCAGCCTTTGCAGAGCCCCATTCTAAATCCCGTAGAACACCTTTGGGACGAATAAGAGATTAGGTAGCTAGCCTAATTGACCCTCCTCACTGCAAGCATTCACTTCAGCTGTTATGGAAGTCAATTCCAATGGCCACCTATCAAAAACTGGAGGAAAATCTTCCTAGACGTGTGCAGGCAGTCAAAGATGTAAAAGGGGAACCAACATCATATTAATATGTGCCAGGGTGCGTAGTCAAATCTTTCAACAAAAAATAAGCACCTTTCAAGTACTTTTTAAGCACTCAAAAATATTTTTAAGCACTACATGCATTAACAAAATGCAAAATAATTTTCAAAGACTTTACATGATCATGATAAAATAACTTGTTTCTGACAAAGAACTCTTTCCTTGATTATATTAGCCATTAAAAAATATTCAAGAGATTTTTTGGTTTGATATGAGAGGGTGGAAAAAGAAGTCCGAAATTGAGAATGCAGCAGAGTTGCACATGAAAGTGCAACAATCTCACCGAATCCAGCTCAATAGACGTTTATGCAGACTCAGAAGTATTTCATCAAACATGTAAAATAATGGGCGCTTTCATACTCTATGGACTGACAGTATGCCAAAATGGATTGTGGTTGAATGAGTTGTAAAAATGTTAAATAGACCAGTGTGAAAAGCACGCTTTTGCATAATACGTGGCAAAAATCGAAATTGTAAAAAAGAAAATCTCATTTTCGAAAATTAAAAAATTAAGCACTTTTTAAAAAAGCTACAGAATTTTGATACCACTGGTTTCCCAGATAGTGTATTTCAAATCAGCAGTCATTTTCTAAATAATATAATTGAGAGAAAAAAATTTATTCATAAATACACTCACCAGACACATCATAAAGAGCAACATGACAAAGAAACACACCCCGATGACAGCTCCAAACAAGTACATATAATAAGTTATATCAGGAGTATTAGGCTTGATTTTTAACTTAAAATTGTAAGCATAACTGAAAGTAAACAAAAACATGCAGATTTTAACACTGAATTTAGATGTTACTACAGTGATTTCACTAGACTTTGGACACTATGGGTCTTTTGAACCCAGGACTTAAAAATTTCCAAGTCCTTTTTTTACTAAGAGCGAGTCCCAATTTAATAATAGAAATCTTACATTTTAAAAATAAAGATATAATACATAAAAAAGGAGATTTCGTGATTAGAAAAAAAAATGCTATCAGCCCCTGTGGCGGAATCGCAGAGACACGGCGACATTGTCGCAGAATGTTAAAGAGTTCTTGGAGAAAGATTTTTCTTTTGAAAAGTTAAAAAAAAAAATTTACTTTTCTATAGAAATTTGCATGCAATATTTGAATCATGCATTTAGATAATAATTTTTTGACGAGATCAATTAACGCCGATATTACTGTAATTTACACCAATATTATCGATTTCAGCAGTTATTCATATTTTACGCGGATATTAAATATCCTGATATGCTTCAAACAATATGGAAAATTCAAATCGAGCATTTCAGAATTTACTTTTTAAGGCAATAATTCTATCGAATTTTTGGCAGTTATTGCTATTGATTTCTCTGTACTTCTTAAATCTGATACTTTTATATGATCATATTTATAACAACCTAATCTTGAAACAAAACACACGTTTGAGGAGTCGATCATTTAGGGCAATTACTACTACGGATTTCATGATTTTTTTTATTATGATTATTTACAAAATGTGAAGAAGGAAATAATTTGTGCATCCCTTCCCCTCCGAAAAAATGCGAAAATATCACGAATAATATTAGAATAAAAAATTATTACATGTTCAATTAAAAAAAATTATATGATTTTTCCTTTGTAAGCACAGTTATGTTTCTTATTTTAAATTAGTAGCGTTGTTAAATTAGTAGCATATATGTTTGTTATTATTAAAAGCATATCTTGCATAAAGATACTAGTGCTAGAGAGTTTTGTCGCAGATAGTTCTGGAAAATTCTGCTACAGGGCTATTAGTAATTTATTCAATAACAGTTCAACGAAGAACAAAAAACCAAAATTGTCCTTAAAAGATCAAAATCAAGTGATCATTTTAAAAGATAGTATGACACACTACATTCTGAACTAACTCATAATGTTGACCATATCAATTAAAATAATACTTCACTAACGGTAGAATAAAACACACAAAAGTGAAAACTGCATAGTATGTTATGTTCACATAAAGAGATAAAATAAAATTATACATTAGCATCAATAAGTTTTAATTACCATTTATTTCTAATGAAAAATACTGCTATTAAGTTGGAAAACGTTTTTGGGTCGATTCATTATGAAAATTATGCATTCCAGAGGCAGAATTTTTTCGGTCTTTCTGCAACATACCTCTCTAATACTAACATTTTTCTGCAAGATACTTTTAAAAATAACAAATATACATGTTACCAATTTAAAGTAACAAAAGCATTAACTTAAAAAAAAAGAACTTTTCGGATTAAATAAAATAATGTTGTTAATTGAATATACAGTACAGAACCCGTTATCCGGAAATCAGAAAACCAAAAAACCGGAACAAAATTCGATAAATTTTCTCGCCATTTTTTAAAAAAAAAATTTGCCTCATAAGATTTTACGATTTTTCTTTCTTTTTTTAAAGATGTTTACCTTACCATCATTTTGGAAATAATCATTAGTGCATTACTTCATTGTTTTTTCTTATTTTTAAGATTAATTTAAATTTTTTTAGTTGGGTTTAACAATAAAAAAAACGGCTTTTTGTAGCGATTCAGAAAACCGGAAAAATCAGTTATCCGGAATACCGATGGTCCCGACCGTTCCGGATAATCGGTTCCCTACTGTACTATATTTTTTTATTCTAATATTATGGGCAATATTCTCGCATTTTATAGGAAAAAATCATCATCAGGAACAATCATCATCAAATTAAAAAGAATTAAAAAAATCATGAAATCCATAGCAGTAACCACCAAAAAAGGAAAAAAGATCAACTACAAAATCATGTGAATTGGACTCTTCAAAAAGAGGTTACTAAACGTGTGTTTTCATTTCGAGATTCAGTTGTTGTAATAATATCGTATAAAAAATATCACACCTGCAGAACAGAAAACCAAATTTTTTACTTCATTTTACATTATTCTTAAATGAGAATAGAAAAATCACAAGAACTTTTTTTTTAATCCGATGCGGGAGAAAGGCATCTTTTCAATATAATTCAAGAAAAGATAAAATCTTTCAAAAAATTTCTGCAGTAAAGATTATTCCNATTCCCTGTATTTTCCCAGTTTGCAAGGAAAAAATCAAAATTCCCTGCATTTTCCCTGTTATTTTAGGTGATTTTTAAATTCCCTGTATTTTCCAGGTTTTCCCTGTTCTCCATGTAGAGTGGCAACCCTGAAAAAATATCACACCTGCAGGAAAGAAAACCAAATTTTTTACTTCATTTTACATTATTCTTAAATGAGAATAGAAAAATCACAAGAACTTTTTTTTTAATCTGATGTGGGAGAAAGGCATCTTTTCAATATAATTCAAGAAAAGATAAAATCTTTCAAAGAATTTCTGCAGTAAAGATTATTCCCTCCTTATGATTTTTGGCGTATTTAGCATGTTAGAGCGTGTAAACAGAGTTACTGTTAACTACATATATTTACATCATTTGTGGAAGATCCCAAAACTGGAATTTTTAAAATAAGCATTCATATACAAATAAAGATGATACAAGATTTGCAATTACATTGCAATAAGTGTTTCAAAAAACGTGTAAATAGGATTGCTATGCTGAATTCTTCAGCAATTCAAAATTATGACATGAATATTCTATAATATGAACTGCGATGTGTGATTTGTAAATCGTACAATGACAAATCATGATGTATAATACACAAACACCATCTACAAGAAACATTAAACGTGATTCAAAAATATGAACCAGGATGAAAAATAAAAAAATATGAACTTAGGGGTACTTTTTATACTTTAAAAAACTTTTTGACGTTGTAAAAAATGATTTCACATTGTAAAGAATGATTTTACATTTTACGATTAAATTTTAACAAAATCATTTTTATTAAAATCTTTGTTTTTATATTGCAACTCTCATAAACTCCAGCAACGTTATTTTCTTCATATGTTTTGAAAACTGCCAATCAATATCTCTAAAGATACGAAAAAATTATACATATAATTAAAATTATACAATTTTGAGAATTATAAAAATTACACAATTTTAGGAAATAAAGTTTCTGAACAAAGCTCGTATTTTTTTTCTATTTTAAGTATAATTTTTTCTTTTGCAATTTTTAGGACATTAAGACTGTTTTTTTTAAGGCAAAGAATATCCCTAGTAATAATTTTAAATTTAAATGTTTATCTCTGGTGGTGCAGTTTGTTAAGGCATGCTGGTGTAGAACTGATAGTCATGAGTTTTATTTCGGATGACAATTAAACAATTGACGTGTGTACTCAACAAGGCGCACATTTCTCACGTTGGTTGTGGAAGTTCGGAGAGAGGGGTACCAGCATTGACCATGACCCCTGTGGCAGAGGTTTTTCAAAGCTTTCTGCGACATACCTCTCTAATACTAATTTCTAATAATGCTACAAATTTGAAGTAACAGAAGCGTTAACTTAGGAGACAAGAAATAAAATTTAAAACATCGGATCAAATAAAATAATTTTTTAAATTGAGTATGCAATATTTTTTTCTTATTATTATAATATCATGGGCGATATTCTCGCATTTTGTCGGAAGATAACACAAAAATTATTTTCTTTTTCGTATTTTGCAAGGATTCCTTTTTCACCCATTAAAAATATATATAAAAAATCGTAAAATCTGTAGCAGCAACTACCAGAAAAAGTTTCAGCACTTTGTTTCGAGATACGGTTGTTCTAAAAAATAATGTGTTAAAGATATCGGAAAAATCTACATAGAAATCAGTAGTGAAAAACCGCATGTAAAAATAGAACAAAAATTTCTACAGAGAAGAAAACCAAATTTTTTTCTTTATCATTCTTTATTTTTCATTATTCTCAAATGATATCAGAAAAATCATAAGCATTTTTTTACACTCCGATGCGTGAGAAACGCAACTTTTGGATGTAAGAAAAGATAAAGTCTTTCGAAAATTTCTGCAGCAAAGAAAAGCAAAATTTTTTACTTCCCAAATGAAAAATCTTTCTGCAAGAACTCGTAACGTTCTGCTACAATATCGCAGGGTCGGCAGGATTCTGCCACGAGGACTATGAACATTAAAAGATAGAACACGGAACTGGTTGGATGATGTTTACTTCAAGTTTATATGTTTATGTGATATGTTTATTTCAAGTTTATATGTTTAAGTGATATGTGTGATGTTTTTAATTTCTTTATACTGACTTATCCCCTTTTGCCTGAATCGCAGAATAGTTAATGTTTTTCTGCCTCTCAACATTAGTTAAATTTTTCATTAAAGGTTTAAGTACCGTGATGCCACAATTGGCATTACATATTTCCTAACTTTTAAAATATCTTTAATTACTTAAACTTACTTTTTTTAATCATTCTTAATTGAATTATATTTAAATTAAATCAATTAGTTAATTTTAATTTAAAGTAAACATAAAATATTTTATTCTTTTCTTATCGATCAATGTAACGGCTAACTTTTTTATTTCAATATTAATGCAGACTCATTAATTCACTGCCGCGCCTAATCAAAAACAAAAATCTATTTATAACTCTTTATTCTTAAATTTCTTACCACAAATATGTTTCAGTTATATGGTTATAATAATTCTCAGTCTTGTTGGCGATTCGCGATCGCCAAGGTATTTTCAAACCTAATATTGATCATGGGAGGTTGGCTTTATTTTTGACTATGTTACTTTTCGATAAATTACCAACCTCGGATCTCTTCACATGATTCTAACTGTCTGTTGGGAAAAATTCAATTACTTTTTAATTTGGCTTTTGATTAGACAGGTCATGGGGTATTTGTCTCCCATGGCCTGCCCTTATTAATATTTTTTATGCAAAATTTAACTTAAATTCCTATGGATAACTATTAACTTAAACTATTAACTTAAAGTCCTATGGATAAAAATAATATTTTGTATCTCGAGCTCTACAAATACTACTAAATAAAAGTTTTATTAATTATGATCCAGTTTTCATCTTTAATTGTCAATATTACTCCAACCACACCTGATTTTCCGTCTCTACTAAATTAGGTGACATAATTACTTTTCAAGCACTTCAGAAAAGTTTTTAAATTACCTGTTATTATATAAATAGTTTTCTTTAATTGTAATCCCATCCATGAAAGAAATGAATACAACTTGAATGCTTATTTCAATTTTTGGATAGGAAACTGCAAGAAAAAAAAATTTATTTTCTCAAGCTAAAAATATGGCCCTTTCAGTTAAAAAAAAATATGAGCATTGTTTATAAAATATACATAATTTAAGAAACATAAAGAAAAAAACCTTAAATTGGTTCAAGTAAACTAGTTAAGAGCAAATAGCATAAACTGTATCAAGAGAAGTACGTAAAATGAATGGATCATCCGATCACTGACAGGTTGAATAAACTTTATCATTAATTCCATTGTTTAATTTTAAATACAACTTTTATAAAATTGCAAACATTTTCCTGCTTAACTTTATTTTCAGATTGAATAGGATGGAGAAAACTTGGAGCTTAGCAGGGTGCATAGCCAAATCTTTCATAAAAAAATAAGCACCTTTTAAGTACTTTTTAAGCATTCAAAAAATATTTTTAAGCACTATATACATTAACAAAATACAGAATAATTTTTAAAAACTTAACATGATCATGATAAAATAACTAGTTTCTGACAAAGAACTCTTTTCTTGATTATATTAGCCACCATAAAAAGATTGAGATTTTTCAGTTCGGTATGAAAGGGTGGAAAATGAAGCCTGAAATGGAAAATATCTTGCAAAATGCAGCAGAGTTGTACATGAGAGTGCAATAATCTCATAGAAGCCAGCTCAGTAGAACGCACATGCAGCCTCGCAAGTATTTAGTCAAATATGTAAAATAATGGGTCCTTTCATACGCTATGAACAGACGATACGTCGAAATAGATTGTGGTTGAATGAATTGTGAAAACGTTGAATAGAACAATGTGAAAAGTACGCTTTTGCATTAGACGTGCCGAAAATCGACATGGTAAAGAAAAAACTGTCATGCTTGAAAAAGGAAAAATTAAGCACTTTTAAAAAATGAAAATCAAAAATAAGCACCTTTAAGCACTTTTTAAAAAAGCTACGCACCAAGCTTAGGCATATTTTTCTATTGAAAACAGAAAAAAAATATTTGCAGTTGGCACATAAACACTTTAATAGCTTAGTTGTTAACAGGAAAAGAAAAATCCAATAGATTTTACAAAATACTATAAATTTAAAGCGAACTATTACATAATATCTGAAATATTTTAAACACAAGGAAGTCAACATCTCATTTAATACAAAAACTATATTACAGTAATAACTATAAATTTTAACTGGGTACAACACCTTCCATTTATGATAGGCAGAAAAGGATTTAAAGGTATGGAGTATTTTTCAAAACTACCTACTCTCATTGAAATAGAATTCAATTTCATTATCTATTACAGTTAGAAGTTAATTTTTCTCAAAAAGCTATGAAACTTAAGGACACCTTAAGAGATATTTCATGTTGAACTTATATATGTTATCGATATTTAAAAACATTTATAATCAGAAATAATTTAAATGGAATTCAAAAATTAGTTTGCCTTGAGCCTGCTTGCTTTAATATGGTTGACTATATCAATATAATAAAACCAGATACTCAAAGATTAGTAAAAATTTTTTTTGGAGGAATATGTTTAAAATACTTACCAACTCGAAGGAATTCAAAGGGCATAGGGAATGGATCAAATATGATAGCTAAATCATATCCAGCTTTTTGAGCACTAATGACCTAAAAGAATCAAAAATAGTTTATTACTTTTTCACAGAGAGCTTTCTAAATAAAATATACAGCCAAACAAAGGCTATGAATAAAATGTGTGGGGAGAGCTGTTTTCGACAACATAAACCTTGAATGGTACCCCAATGAAAAGGTACCCCGACATAGAGTCGAGTTAACATGTCTCATATACTAAAGAATTGGAATTATATTTTTGTAGTGGTAGCTACACTACAGTACTCCCCCACCAGAAATATATCTGTGATAGAATTCGATGAACCACTAGATGATGATGAATGTGATAGAACCACTAGTTGATTCATTGCTGTTTTGATAGTAGCCGGGAGAGCTGTATTAAGATCACCGTATTTTTGTAGTGCTGATTGTGAGAGCTGTATAAAGTTCACGGTCGTGGTCGCTCCCGAGCTGCCATTAACAGTTGAATGTATACAGGTCAGCACTGTGTGTGATCGAAACTCAGTAGCAACAGCGTGAGGAGGTGGATAATGTCGCAGTCACAAGTAGCAATGTGGATCACCCATCGAAGTAGGCGTGTTCAGATCGAAATGGGGATTACTGTCAAGATAGGCGTGTTCATATCGAGGTGGAAGGTTTCTGCTAAGGTAATGTTCACATCACGTCCGAAGGGCATCTACGTGGGGAGAGTTGTTTTTGACAATGTCAACCTTCTTCTATGAAAAGATACCCCACCATAGGATCGAGTTAACACGTCTTATATACTAGTGAATTGGAATTAGATTTTTGTAGTGGTATAGCTACAGCTACACTACAAATGTATTACAGTGCAACGTCCCATATCCGGACGTCCCTTTACCGGAAGGGTCGATTTCCCGGACACTTTTTAACAATCAAAGTAAACAAACATCTCTCCATCTTCCCCTTTCCTTTAAAAAAAAGTCTTTTGACACATTTTCTCTTTTTCTAGCTTGCACTGAACCTCTGATTTATGCATCGAACCCATAAATTACCAGAAAGGGGAAGTGAAGATCTACCAAGACCATTGAGTGACGCTCCTCTCTTGGAATGTAGGAAAAAGAGGGAGATTTGTTTTCAAAAGACCGCAACTGAGTCCCCTTCCCCCCTCCTTTCCCATGCAGGTGGCTAGTAAAAGAAACATTTCCTGGAACCTTTTTATTGAAAGAAGAAATACTGTGGAAAAGGGTAAACGGGGCAATCTTTAAGGTGGAGGGGGAGTCAAAATGGAAAATTTGAATAGGTCTAAAAGGATACACGTCCTTGAGAAACAAAACATTCGTTCTTCCCCATACCATGTAATATTTAGGAGGCGGGGGGAAAAAGGGGGTAACATTCTCTCTTTAGCAGATTCTTTCAGTCATAGAAGAAAAAATAAAGAGAACCCGATCAGCGTGCCCCGCCTTTATGCTTGATTGATAGCCAATGATTGGAGAGAAAACAATAATTTGTTACTTCCCCACCCTCAACTTAAATGATCTCCTCTTTACACTTATTTTCTTTCACAAATAAGGAGGAAATGAATTTTTCTCCTCCACCTACCCACCTTAATGAATGACGGGAATTTCCCTTTCTTGCTTGAATCATTCTAGTTAAAAATGGCGGATTATTATTTTCATATGTCAATTTTTTTTCGTTTTCTATATTTTAAGCAGTAGTATTTTTTTCTAATATTTCATATTTTATTGATTAGATATTCTAATACTAAAACATTATTCCCCTTAAAAATAATGTTTATTTATTTTTTGCTTCTTAGATTTAGATCATTTTAAGCTTTGTTCCAGAATGACATGAATTTCCCCTTCCTGCTTGAATCGTTCTAGTTCAAAATGGCGGATTAATATTTTCATAACTGTTAAATTTTTTTCGTTTTCCATATTTTCAGCAATAATATTTTTTTTCTAATATTTTATATTTGATTGATTAGATCTTCTAATGCTAAAACATTATTCCCCTTAAAAATAACGTTTATTTAATTTTTGCTTCTTAGATTCAGATCGTTTATTAAATCATTTTAAGCTTAGTTTACCTCGGGGGTCTATTACAAGGAAAAATCTATTATACGGACTTCTGGAAGTCCCACCGATTCCGGATACGCGACTTTACACTGTATAACTATAAAATCAGTGGAGTATGCAAGAAGTGCGTTAGTTTCAAAATAACCTTTTCCAGGCAAATATTTTAGGTAAATAAAAGTTATTTTACAAATCCAGATAAAAACATAGTTTATGGATTAAAACTAGAAATATATTTGGATAACAACCCATAGAAAAATCACTAGAATAACCCAGAATAACTAGAATAACAACCCATAGAAAAATCACTAATAATAAAAACTTACTTTTTTTGAGAATCCACAAGTTTCAGTGCCATTAATGAGAACAAATTTTCCGACAGTAAAGTTAGTTAAAAATGTGGGAGGGACGAGAGGACTGCAGGCATCAAGGGGTTCTGCTGCGACCACATAACCCTAGGAAAGAAAAAAAAATTAGAAAAATAAAAATCAATATAAAGTGAGAAATACACCACCCTGCATGACCTTTTAATACTGGTTGCAAAGCCCAATATGCAAAAAGCTTCATTTGCAGCAATTCTAAAGTGAGTTTGCATAGTTTTATCATAATTTATTTAGTTATTTATCAGTTTTTCCTGCCATTTCAACATTGATTTCAAAACATTGATATTTTGAATACAATTACACCCTTTTTGATGAGCTTAATTTGCAACATAAAATCTATGTTGTTTTATCGATTAATTTTTTTGGCAGTTAGATATTGTCATAGATTTCAACACAGTTTTTAAAAACCTATTTGTTTGTTTTTTTTAAATACAATATTATTACAACATATAAAATTCTTAAAATATAGAAACACACACATTTTTCAAAACACAAGAGTTTTGCTCATTATAAAATTGATATATAGATGGTATATAAATTTATCAAGAGCTCTCTTTGCTACACTGTTTCTGTTTTTTAAAAAAAAATAATCAGATTTTTCAATTTTTGATGAATAAATTTTTCGGCAGTTAAATATTGCAAGCCATTAAAAAAAAAAAAAAAAAATTTTTTTTAACAACCCAGATTTTTTTAAAAGAAGCGTTTTTTAAGGACCATACAAATTTTGTAAAATATAATGCCTTTTCTAGCTGAAATGTGCTCCTTCTTTGAAAAAAAAAAAATTCATTTTTGAGTTTGCAGCATCCTGCTCTTTTTTCAAATCTGGAATGAACCCAGTATTGTACAGAAAAAAATTAAATACAATATATAGAGAAAACTAAATATTACCTCCATTGGCATAAAATTATCATCATCGAAGGTAGCTTCTCGATCTTGGAAACTATCTATTTTTCTTCCAAAATGATCATACTGTAAAAATTAAATTAATGAAAAATAAGACAAAAGAAAGGAAAATATTTCAAGAAACCAGTATTTATGCTCAAAGAAAAAAAATTTCTTTTTTCCTTTCTCCAAGGCTGTTTCAGTAATGTTTGTTAAAATAACTTTTGGTCTAATTTACTCTTACTCAAATTTTTTGCAGCTATCATTAATTTAAAATTTTTTTAAAAGATAAAAACTAGGTTCCACAGAACGAACACAAAATGTGAAGTCTGTTACAGCCAGTTCTTAATTTTTCATTAATATTATCTCACAAGGTTAATAGTATGCAGTAAGTCCAAACGAAACAATATTTCAACAAAAATTAATGGAACAGTTTGAGTTTTTTTTTATTTTTTCAAACTGAGAATTATGTATTTTAAATCCGTAAATATGGAATTCATAAATGGTAGGAATTGCCAATATACAACATTGTGTATACTAATCATATGGGAGTATTAGTATAGATTCTTACGTAATTTAGTGTTCTTAATATTATAGATGTATATTTTACTGTGTTATTAATCCAAATTTATTCCACATAAACTATAGAATAAATTAGTTCAAACATGGTAAGAATATGGTGAATAATAATAATGAAATGAAAAAAATATACTTATGAAAAACATAAGAAAATTTTTGTTGCTTCAATATTTAACAATGAAATCCATTTTAGAAGATTTTATTAGCATAGTACAAACAAAATTCTATTTGATTGTGTTGATTCTGTAATATTCTGTTAACAGGAAATGTCTGTTTCACATGTGTCCATACTGATTGTACATTATATCTTTAAAATTAAAACCAGACATATAAAGTCATTTGTAACCAAAAAGTTATGATAAATACTAAAAAACAAAACAAAAAAAAACAAGAAGCAATTAGAGTACGGTTTCACAAAATAACAATTAACATAACTATTTTTTTTGTTGACAAGTTTAAAATAGCAACATTAAATCAGCAACATTTAAATTGTTAAGAATTCAAATATTAGCGAAGAATATCTTCGTATCTCTCCAAAAGTTTAGAGGACTAGTCACCTCCTCCCACTTTGACAAATGCTCAGGGTGCGTAACCACATTTTCAACAAAAAAAAGCACCTTTTAAGTACTTTTTAAGCACTCAAAAATTTTTTTTACTCACTTTCTAAAAAAAAATCCTAATAGGATCTGTGCAGTAATAACAAAATTTTTTTTGCATATCATTTAAAGTTCTTAATTTATTATCATAAAATCAATAAAATTCAAAAACATTTTCAAAAACTTTACATAATCATGATAAAATAACTAGTTTCTGATAAATATTGCAGGGGAAATTGTGAAAATCGTGCACTTTTTGTAATTTAGAATGACAATCAACATGTCAAAGAAAAAATATCTTTTTAAAAGATAGAAAATTAAGCACTTTTTACAAACTCCGAATAAAAAAAAGCACTTTTAAGGCCTTTTAAAATACGTAAATCAAAAATAAGCACCTTTAAGCACTTTTTTAAAACGCTACGCACCCTGGCACTTCAGTAATCTTTTGAGTTTTGACAGTTACATTCAAGACTATACTCAAGGGGGAAAAAAGGGGACAGGAACAACTGTCCCAGTGCAAGTTTCATCCAAGATGTAAAATACTTTTAATTACAGATATGGCTTATTTAGTATCCAAAGTAGCACAAAATATTAGTTAACATCAGGAAATCTAACATTTTGCATAAATTTCAAATATTACAACAATACATACGGTTGCTGTTTTCTCTGCATTCATAACTTTAGATTTTATGCAAACTAATATAAACAAGTGTTCACCGTAAAATTATTTTGCATTGGCTTTGATGCTATATAACATTAGATTTCATATTTTGTGTTCTTATCTTGCTATTGAATTCAGTTACCATTCCTCTCCTCTTCCTTACTCCAAATTATATTTTGTGTACAGCAGATTTTTATGAATGAAATTATAAGTTTAATGAAGAAACAATACTCAAGTACCTTAACTTTTGATATTTTTTTCTTTTCTACGATACAAAGATTTTTCAGATGAATTTTCTATAATTTCCAAGTGACTATTTTTAATTTTAAATTTATTTTCAAATTTTTCTTAGAAATTAGTCAATTTTCTCAAAATCTCAAAGTTGTTTATGAAACTTTTATAGAAGTCATTACTCTAGTCATCTCTCATTTTACTCTAGTCATTCGCAACTTTACAATTATCACACATGATTCCCATTATGAAATTGTATAACAAAAACCACACTACAGTTGTTAAGTTATATTTTCATGTGAACTGAGTGCAAATTTTACCTTCAAGAATTTTTTTTATTCTTATCTTGAAATATAATTGTGTCCTAATTTATTCTCATAAAATAAATTTGAAACTTTATTTAAAGATTTATTCAAGATTAAGATAAAATTATTGCTTAAATTTTTGAAGTGTGTTTTTTTTGTTGTAATAATTATGATAATAAAAAAAACTGATTTAAAAATGATTTCCTCTAACATATATGTTATAAATAATAATAAGTTTATATAACATATATGTTTATATATAAATGCAATATCATACAAACAGAAAAAAATAAAGAATTATTCTCAAGTAATTAAAGATACAACTTACAACATCTATAGTTGATTCTACTAGACACACTTGTAGAGAGAGGTATAAAATATAGGAAACTAATAAGACGGAAGTTATGATTCGGTTAGTCATCTTGAAAAGGCTGAATTCAAAATTGAGATAGACATAGAACTGAAAGTTTAAAAAAGAGAGTTACAGGATTAAGCACATAATGGAAAAACTAAAAAGAGAAACTGATCACAATATTCATTCTAGGTGGAGTTTACAAGACGAGCACCGTCGTTTCCCCTTTGAATGAAAAATTTCTCTCTGCAGGACCGTTAACTTGATTATGTGTAAAATATTACTTTAATGTCGTTTCTATATGAACTAATTTTTAGTGTGAAATGATTTGACTTGCCTTGAGCTGGTTCTTCGGAATTATATTTTTATTAATAACATAGACGGCACGAAACACAAAGAAAAAGGTAAAAGATGTAGCAAAAGCATTCAGGCGTCTGGTGCCGCGCAAACGCTCATCAGCGTCACCAGCGGAATATTTCTTAACTATCATTAAATTACAACATTACGTGCCCTGACATAAATAAAGAGGAAAAAAGCCAATTTCTTAGTAAGTCCACATTGTGCTTGATTTCGGAAGCTATAATTTTTTTCGTCTTTTTCACATGGTTTTTCAAGTTAAATAATTTTAATATAATGTTGCTTTGGTGCACAAATTTTCCATTAGCGTTATCACATTTTCATGGGTTTGATTTGTGACGATTTTAGCTCAATTCTCTGCATTTGATTCAATTTTTATTTTTCTGTTAAACTTTTGTATATAATCCTTGCTTTTTATGATAGCACTGCATTTTTAAAAGTGTTTCTGATAGACACATTATATTTTTTAATATTTTATGCATAATTTTTATCCTTGGAAAATATATTTTTAGTATTAAAGTTTTATTTTAAGAATTAAGAGGATATTAATTTTCTATTTCTATTTTTTTTGCAACTTCACAACTTTAGTTTTTTGTAAATAGCTGTTAGTCAGTTTTTTTTAAAATCTTAAATCAAAAAAACTGACATATTTAAAATCATATTTTGTCATCACTTGAAGCAGAAATCAAGGTCAAATCAGTATTCAAGGATTAATAAATTTTGTCACAAATATTTATCTGTACTGACAGTGTTTGACTTAGTTTGCATTAACCATATCATGGACCATATAAAGTTTTAAGGAAAACCGAGAAAATTTTCATGATTAAAATTAAACAATTCGAAGTTAAAATATATATACATAAAATAAAACCCTATTATTTAGATAATTCCGATGGACCTGAACGACATCTGTACTGGTTAAAAGAAATCTGGAACTGTTTCATCGTCGACAACTTCTGAAATAAAGCAAGATAATAGAAACAAAAGAGCGAAGTTTGCCATTTCCTGAATGCAGTTCTTAATAATTCGAGTAGCTCTCTTAAAGGGGGATACTGTGGTATTCAAAATCAATAAAATCATGCACATGAATGTTTTTTATACATGATTTGAAACTGCGTGTTACAAGGACAACATATCTTTATTAATAATTATGATGTTGAGAAAGAGTGTATGTATTTATTTTTCATGGTCAATAATGCATTTTTAAACTGAAATTAATTATGTTTATAACTATATATTAACTTGTAGAAGACAGCTGTAAATATTAAATATTATCGGTCGTCAATTTGTATTTATTCATCCTTAATCGCATATTGTCCGAAGACTTAAGTTTCGATTGCAATCAAATTTAATTTACATAGTTCTGATGAAATTGCAATTTTAATTGATATCGTATTATTTCTTGATAACATTCAATGGAGAAAAGAAAATAATCCTAATTCTAACTAATTATGGTAAAGGTAAATATAAGGATTTTTTTAAACAAAGTTTTAAATTTTCCTGTGAAAAATGAAAACTATATACCCATATCCTGAATCAAGTCACAGAACATTTTCTGTTGAAGTAGAACTGGAATTAAATATAGAACTCGCTTAATAAGTCACAAAATTAAAATTTTATTTACAAAATACGAATAACGCAATACCAGAAGTTTAGTTTCTGTCTCAAAATAAATAATCACAGCAAGCAAGAGTTATTGAATGTTGCCAACTAGAGTAGTTTATTTCAAACATCAAAAATTTGTGAAGGTCAGTTCAATTGGAACAAATTTTTGATTGGGCTAGCATTATACAAGAAATTTTTGCAAGAAAATAAGTGGTCGGAAGCGCTAACTTTCTATCAGAAATAACACAATCCAAAACAACTGATGTAATAATATCGTGAGAAAATGAAATTAGCTTGAATGCGGATTGATTTATAATAATGCGTACAATTTACTGTGCCGTTTTAGGTGCTCAACAAAGTGTAGTTTTTTGTTAATATAAAAGAATGAAACAGAATATGACATCTGTGGAATTGAAAGAACAAGGAAACAAGCTGTTTAGTCTTCGAAAATATGATGATGCTGTCTCCTGTTACAGTAAAGCAATCGTAAGCATAAAGCTATGGAAATTCAAACTCCAACTAAATAGTTGCATTTCAATAAATTATATGTTCAATTCAGAAACACCCGTTTTTGTCTATAAATTCATTGTTTTTAAGATTCGCTTACCTAGTTTTATAGGTTATAGTGTAGAATTGGGTGCTGCTTGGATTGACGACAAATTTCGTTAAACTTTGCTGAATATTGCGTTGTGTTTATGTTAGTTATTTTTTTAAAATTACAATTTTGTTACGTAAATTATCGTCAATATTAAATATTTTAATTGTTTTAAAAAGACTTGCAAAAAATCATATAAAAAAATTGGTAAAAAATCTATTTATTTTAAGAACCGATCTTCAATCTAATTCTCCATTTGCCTCTATCTTTAATAGGTCCTGTTATTTTCCTCAGAACCTTTTTTTCAAACAGCAGCAAGTCATTTTCGTCTTTTTTAGTCATTGTCAAGGATTCATTTCCATTTGTCACAATTGGTCAAATAATAGTTTCAAAAAGTAACATTTGTAAAGATTTTGTAAACAATTTATTTTTAAAAGGTAACTGTGTTAAATGTTGCTAATTATGTAGTTTTTTGGTATATATAAGGATACTTCAAAGATTGTAAGTTGTGCTCCCCTTATTAAAAAAAAATAAATAAGTAAAGTGTTTGATTAAAGTTTGAAATTACTTTAAAATGTGTGCGTTATGCAATGAAAAATGTATGTAGATTTTAAGCCCGTTAGCTAGCATCCTTGAAAAATAAACCAATGTGCTCCGTGGCGACATTGTCGCAGAACGTTACCGAGTTCTTGCAGAAAGATTTTTTTCTTTAGGGAAGTAAAAAGTATTTTTTTTCTACAGAAACTTTGGTAAGATTTTATCCTTTCTACTAAACTATATTCAAACAATGCCTTTCTCGCGCATCCGAATGGAAAAGAATGCTTGTGATTTTTCGATTCCCATTTGAGAATATAGAAGCAATTCTGCAGTTTTCTTTCCTGCAGAAATTTTCGTTCTAATTTTTTTATGCAGTTATTACTATTGATTTCCACATAGTTATTAAAATCCAATATATTTAATAAAATGATATTTATTACAACTACTGAATCTTGAAATAAAAACACACATTTAGTAACCCTTTTTTTGAAAAGTCCAATTTATGTGATTTTGTCCTCAATCTTTTTCCCCCCCGGAAGTTACTGCTACGGATCTCACAATTTTTTTAACTATTTTGTTTAATGTGATAATGATTTACAAAATGCGTAAAATGAAATAAATAGGGTTTTTCCCCTACAAAATGCGAGAATATCGTCCGTAATATTAGAATATAAAAAAATTATGCATTCAATTAAAAAATTATTTCATTTGATCCGGAAATTTTTATTTAAGTTGACGATTCTGTAACTTTAGTTTAGTAATATGAATATTTGTTATTTTTAAAAGTATCTTTCAGAAAGATATAATTAGACAGGTATGTTGCAGAAAGCTTGAAAAAATTCTGCTGCAGGGCCAATGTATCTACTTATAGAACTATGGGCCAATGTATCTACTTATGTTATTAGAGAAATTTTTATTTAACCTTTCTTTTATTGCAGATATTAAATCCTCAAATTCCAACCTATTTTACTAATCGAGCATTATGTCATCTAAAGTTGCATCAGTGGGATCATGCATGCCAAGATTGTCGCAGTGCTCTTGAACTTGATTGTGCTTCAGTGAAAGGGAACTTTTTTTATGGTCAAGCTCTACTAGAACTCGAAAGCTATGATGAAGCCATTAAATATCTACAACGAGGTATTTGTTATTGCTTTTAAGGAACTAGAATTATTTGAGAACTGATATTTGTTATCACTCTGCCCTTTGAATTTTTTTTAAAGAAAAAAAAAATGCAAGAAATTAACAGATTTTTTATTTCATTAATAAATACAAAGAACTAAAACAAAACATAATACGCAAGTTCTAAGTGAAAATTGTATTTTTTTTATGCATAAAAGATGTTTAATTTGCTATCAGTTTACTATCCCAAATTATCTAGGCCAAATGAAAAAAGTTAATTATAAATCTTTGTATATGTTCACATTTTCATAATCTGAAAAATCACCACCAATCAACGCCATTTTTCGTACTCTATTTTCTGTGTAAATTCAGCAACCATCGTATATACAATGGCACAAAACAGATCTGCTGTCCCACAAACAGCAAAACTCCCAAGCAAAAATTGGCAAACTTCCAATCACAGTAGATTATCATTATTTTTTGCTTTGCTTTCGGACGAGTAAAAATATGATAAAGCAAAATGTATTGAAGAATTCTGCTGGGATTATAAATATTTGCAATATATACATCCGGGAGTTAACTCGGGGTAATCAGGGAAGCAGTTAACACCACTTTTGTCACATATCTGAAAATTCAAACAAATATAGCAAACCTTCTGTGGTACGTTTATTTTTTTCAGCACTCTACCTTGAGTTAGAATGAAGTTTAATCGTTTAGCTATTGATCACAGAAGTTGAATTTTTGTAATGATATTAAAATTATACATTTCCATTATTGTTTTTAACAAATGATTAAAGTTTATTAATTTCTTTTTAAGTGTTCTTAAATTCATATTTTTTGCAGCTAGTGATTTAGCCAAAGATCAGAAATTGAATTATGGTGACGATATTGCCAGCCAGCTGAGAATCGCAAAGAAAAAGCGTTGGACTGTCCAAGAGGAAAAAAGAATAGCACAAGAAATTGAATTACAGTCATACTTAAATCGGTTAATACTGGAAGACAAGGAAAAGTAAATAAGTTTCCTGACATTCATTTAGAATTTTCTTTCATACAAATTACTAAAAGTTAAACAGAGAAATGGGCTCTGTTCAACTTTTGGGCCAACAACATAATAAGTTTTGGAGAATGTGTAATCTCCTCAAAAAAAAATTTTAATCTAACAGATTCAAATATTGAGAGATTTTTGTTAATTATATTGCTAAGTTTTTATTAATTTAGTAAACTTTGATAGTTGGTAAAATTTTATCAAGTATACCCCAACCAAAAAATATAAAAGAGGAATAAGGAAAGCTCANAATGATATTAAAATTATACATTTCCATTATTGTTTTTAACAAATGATGAAAGTTTATTAATTTCTTTTTAAGTGTTCTTAAATTCATATTTTTTGCAGCTAGTGATTTAGCCAAAGATCAGAAATTGAATTATGGTGACGATATTGCCAGCCAGCTGAGAATCGCAAAGAAAAAGCGTTGGACTGTCCAAGAGGAAAAAAGAATAGCACAAGAAATTGAATTGCAGTCATACTTAAATCGGTTAATACTGGAAGACAAGGAAAAGTAAATAAGTTACCTGTCATTCATTTATAATTTTATATCCTGACATTCATGTATAATTAGAAGCGGGCTCTCATGAGAACAAGTTTTGGAGAATGTGTAATCTCCTCAATACAAAATTTTTAATCAAAAAGACTCAAATATTGATAGATTTTGGTAATTATATTGCACAGTTTTTATTAATTTAATAAACCTTGATAGTTGGTAAAATTTTATCAAGTATACCCCCACCAAAGAATATAAAAAAGGAATAAAGAAAGCTCAAGGAAGTTAGTGTGATACAGGGTCAGGGGATTAAAACAGGGGTCTGTCTAGGTTTTTTTAAAAGGTACCTATTTTGTGAAAATTAAAAAATCAACACAACATGTACACAAAATACTTTAAATTAGTATTTTACCAAGTACTCAGCACACTTAGCATATTGAGATAAAAGAACAGATTTTCAATATTAACATACTCAGACAAGTTTTGACGTTGTACTCGGTTAATACTGAGTATAGCTGTAAAAATTAAATATTTATAAGTATAAATAAAGGCGAAGATTTTTAGTAATGAAAAGAAAGAAAGATATATTCAAACATAAATTTATAGCGTGCAGTCATTTACTACCGCTTAACTTAAAAAAAAAAGACAATTGTACCACAAAGTTTTAAAAGGCATGGAGGAAAATCTTAAAATTTGCTTTTTTAAGAAAAGTATTTTGTGAAACTACCATTTTTCTGAAAGTTGAATTTGTGAAGGTACCACTAAACGGTAGTAAATTTTCCCTGGAAAGATCATCTGTAATAGCAATAAAACCTGTTATCAGAGTTAATCAGCTCTGCCTATTTATAAATGGGGTGCATAGAGAGTTCTATTGATGCCTAATGCTAACTCCTCCATTAGATGCCCCAAAAAGGAGAAACCACTGTATTTATAATAATCAAACAATATTTATAATAAATTTTTTATGCAAATGCAAAAAGAAGTTATTATATGGTAAAACATTTAGTTTTTCGAACAAAATTGTCTTAATTTATTTCTCAAGTGTAAAGAATATTTATACCTTAATGGACTACAATTTTATTATATTATTTGCTTAAAAATCATACTTTAATCTTGATAAATATTTCATTTGAACCAAATATTTACCTTTTAAAAGTTCTAATGTCCTTAGGCATTAATTGATGGCCCCTTTTTTCTATAATCATCCAGCTTGCAAGCAAAGAAAAAAGATGACATTCTTGTTCTAAAACTTATTTTAGCCCTTTCCGGTGCAGTGTAGCCAGTCTGGCTACACTAGTTTAATGAATCTTCAGAAAAAAGACTGATTTGATTATCTTGAAAATTTAAATATTTTCTTGCAATTTTCTAAGTAGTTTTTTGTAAATTTGGAATAAAAGCTTTGAATCAGGGTTGGGTTTTTGACGTCAAAAAGTGGTTTTTGACATGACACGGGTATAATACTGGTTTAAACCGTCAAAAACTGAAGTTTGCCAAGAAAATATATAAACTTCAGAACTACCAACAGTTGCCATGCATTATATTGAAATTTAATTATACTATAGGTAATCAGCAGGTTTTAAAATATTTTTTAATTAAAATTAAGGTAAAATAACAGATTTAAAATCTCAGAAATTTATATTCAAATGCATGTGCAGAAAAATTTTGCACAAAAATTGTTTAAATATTTATATTTAAAAAAAAAATTTTTTTTTTTTTTGATACTTAAGAAAATTAAAAGTTTATTACTATGCATTTTTGACATATAAGGAACATATAACTAATATTTATAAGGAACTTACAAGTTATGTTGTATAAATACAAACTTGATACAAGTGTATAAAAAAAAATTTTAATGTTATACCGAATATCTTTATTATCCAGTATGTTAATTTGAATTTAAAAGTAGTTATATTTATGAATAATGAAAAATATAGTTCATATTGTTTATTATATTTATTGATAATTATAACACTTATCATTTTAAAACAAGTTTTATCTCTTAATTTTTTTTTCTCCACTTCTATTAAGAATACAAATAATGTAAATCTTGAAAGCAAGAAGTAATTATTCAACAGCTGAATATTTAGATATTCAACAAAACTATATAGTATTCAGCAAAATGAAATTCACAAGTATTTGGATAAACTAAATTTTCAGCATAGTAAATAAATAAGCTGAATATACTGTAAATCGACACTAACTACTCTGTGTATTTAACAGAAAGCACTTAAATTTGTATTGTCTTATGTTTTTTGAGACAAAAAGAAGATTTAAAAGAATATTAAAAAGATTTTTCTTTAAAAGATGTCTAATGTACAAAACTGCTAATGTTTATCTTTAAAAATGTCTAATTTTTAGTATAATCTATACTATACACTAAATTTGGTTATAAATAAATTTCTTAATAATATCACTGCAGATTTTCAATAACACATGAAAATGAATACATAATATTACAAAAGATGTGAGCTTTCAAAAGTACAAGATTTTGGTTACTATTCAAAATATAAGTGTTTCTTCAAAATTTTAAATTTATTTTTTCTAGAACATATTTAGAAACATTATCCTTTATAAAAAATATATAAATTTTATGTATTAATTCAATTTCATATATGAATATAGGTTTTTGACAGTGAGGTTTTTGACGTGACGGTTTAAACCATGGTTTAAACTGTCACATGTCAAAAACCTGCCAACCCTGCTTTGAATGGTAAAAAGTCTACCACAAATTTTATTTTTTACTCCTAAACAAGATTTAGTTAAGCCAAGCAAAGATCGGCATTATATAGAACCATCCCCTGTTAAATTATGTTTTATTTCCCAATACCATCATATTTTGTTGTTTAGACCATCATTTTATTGTATTATCATTTGTCATTAAATTTTTTTATATATTATAAAATGAAATTTGTGTAAAACTCCTTGCCCTATGGAGCTTTCAATAAAAAAAAAGTACAAAAACTATCTAGAAAACTGCTGGAATCTTTTTACATTTTCATAAGTTACCAAATACGATTCAAAACAACAAAAAAAAATACATTTTTATTCTAGAACTTATTTTAACCTTTTCAGGTGCAGTGTAGCCAGTCTGGCAACACTAATACAACAAATTATTAGAAACGTAAAACTAATTGCTTATAAACATTTATCTATCAAGAGCTAAGCAACAAAGAGCTCAAGTATGTCACTTCATTTACTGTCCAAGGTTACTTGTTTATGTCCTGCTTGACTTTTGATTGTATGTCCTAATTCAATTTTGATGTTGTGCAAAAAGTCAATAAATGGTTGTTTGATTGAGAACAATGTGACTTTTTTTATGTACATCTTATTTTAATTTTTTTATGTGCATCTTATTGTTATTTAATTATATTTTAATTGACATAAAAATAATATTATTTGAATCCATCAAGAAATATGTCATGAGAAGTGTCTGCTGGTATTAAATTCCCTTTTATTAAAGAAGAAAATTTTTATTATGTGAACATGTCTGGCACTGGTTTCTAACATTCACCTCAAAATTGGCTACTTCTCTTTTTATTTCTTGTGGCATTCATTAAATCTATGAGACATAATTTTTAATTTTAAGTCTATGAGAATTTTCCTTTTTTTTTATGATGCTCAGTGTGATTTTGCATGAGCAATGTTAATTAAACCTTTCTGTTCCATAGCCTTAAATTTCCAGTTTGAAATTTTCATTATGGTCAGATGTAACAAAATATATGTTACGTGATCTAATCGGCTACCAGAGCATTTTTAAATTTTTTGTTCGAATTTATTTTTTAAATGGTAATAAATTTTATACTGATAGAAGTGAACAGTAGATTTTGATATCTTGGTTTTTTTTTATGAGTTATGGCAGTTTGGAAAATATTTGTTTTTATTTTCCTAAACTCTTGGTGTCAGAAAAAAAGGGAGAAAGAATGGCATATACAAGCAGATTTGAAAAAGGTGCTATTTACGGGATTGGAGGGAGCGTGAAAAAATAGACTAGAAAGCTTTTATGCCTTGATGAGCCTAAATAAATAATAATTCAATTAAAACTCTTTTTACATAAACAGACTAAGCCTGTGCCATTCCATTCTTAGTCCCCCTCTGCCATTAGAGGTGGTGCATGGCGTTTTTAAAATGTGCTTAAAGGTGCTTATTTTCGTTATTTAAAAGCCCTTAAAGGCGCTTTTTTCATTGGGTGTTTTTAAAAATACTTAATTTTCCCTTTTCAAAAATGAGATTTTTTTTTTCTTTACCATGTCGATTTTCACCACAGATTATTCAAAAGCGTACTTTTTACATTGTTCTATGCAACTTTTTCACAATTCATTCAACCACAATCCATTTCGGCTTACCATGAAAGAGCCAATCATTTTACATGTTTGATTAAATACTTATGAGTCCGTATGTGCGTCTACTTGGCTGGGTTCGGTGAGATTATTGCCTTCTCATGTGCAAGTCTGCTGCATTTTGCAAGATATTCTCAATTTCAGACTTCATTTTTCACCCTCTGATATCGAATCAAAAAATTTCTGCATCATTTTATAATGGCTAATATAATCAAGAAAAGACTTCTTCGTCAGAAACTAGTAGTTATTTTACCATGATCATATAAAGTCTTTGAAAATTATTCTGTATTTAGTTAATGTATATATTGCTTAAAAATATTTTTTAAGTGCTTAAAAAGTACTTAAAAGGTGCTTATTTTTTGTTGAAAGATTTGGCTACGCACCCTGTTAGATAATTATGCATATTGTATTAAAACATGAACATTTCAAAGTCACTAGCATTAAGAAAAGAACCAGGTTCAAACTTTTTATACTTACCACAGTTGACACAATATCACAATTCATGAAAACTTCAATTATGATAGTTCAAAATATGTTCACAATCTTGGTGTGAAAAATTTGAAAGGACAGTTAGTTGCATGGTATTCAAATCTTGTTGTAGGAAAAAAGCCTGTACTCCATTTCCAAATTGTAGTAAGAAATATGTTCGAAATTTGAATACATTAGTATTTAAGAATATTACCTAGCTTTTTTGATCCATTACCTTTTTGTTTTAATTTAATATTTTAATACGGAAATTAAATTAGATATCTGAATACATTATTGCCCATATCTCTTAATTTCTGTCTATTTTTATTGCAGAGAAATTTCCCACCTTCAAAGTTTGGGACTAAAAAGTAAAAATGAAATTGCAAGGCTCACAGAAAAATTTGTAAGCTCATTTATTTTTATTTTTTTGCAAGGATGAATTTTCTTTATAATTGTTCTATTATTTATTTGCTTGTTTTTATTTAAAATTCTAAATTATCAAAAAAAGTAATACATGATATTATATTGCAATTAATAATAAGTTTTTTACCCATTTGATTTTTAAATAAGTATTACAAGTTTTGATAAGTTGAAGTGGGAAGACGCCCACAAATTATACAAAAGTGATCTGTTCTACTTGATTTGCTGTTTTAGAATTTTCTGACTCTTGAATAATATTGTAAAGAAATAAAAGCTTGATTAATAAATTTTAAATGAAGTTTTATTAAAAATTGCTATTTTTGATAAGTTGAACTGGGGAAGATATCCACAAATTATACAAAAGTGATCTCTTCTATTTGATTCGTTTTAAAATTTTCTGACTCTTGAATAATATTATAAAGGAACAAAAGCTTGATTAATTAAATTTTCTTATCATGAAGTTTTAAAAGAAGGTGTCCAATTATATTTATTTATTTACTAATTTAAGAAAATCAATGTAAATTGTTTTTATGGGGATTGTTTGTTTCAGAACTTTGGATTAATGTCGTTGTATTCTGTGTATAAAGATTTCAATCTATTTAACAATTCAATAATTATAGAATTTTTAAAATGTTGGACTACAGAGTCATTCAGAAATTATTTTCTATTTATGCTTTTAGAATTATTGAGAAACTTCTGCAAATAAAATCATTTAGCTCTGATTAAAAAATAATCATACCAATTACAATTTTCAATGGAATATTAAATCTTGATATTGACCATTAACCTTTTGCCTATGATGCCTGCAATTGTGGACCATCAGTTGTACCAGCCATAAGCATAAATAAGAATGGAATTCAATTGAAAGTTCAATAAGAAATGATATTTTAAAACATGACAGAAAAGTTATTTTACCTAAAAGTAAAACTATACTTGAAATATGCATAATTTTTTTTTTTTTAAATTTCGCAAGTAGTTTATTTATTGTAATAACTGCTTTGGATAAAAAAAATTTTATTGCATATTTTAATTTGTAGTTAATGCGGGGCTGATTGTGCTCCGGAAAAAATCCGGATTTCCGGAATTTTCGCTTACAGTGATCCGGAAGTTTCCGGAGATCGAAGCTCCAGGCATTTCAAATAATCATTGATCACAGAAGTTTCCAGGAATCAAATTTTCAAAGGTGGAACTTAAAAACACAGTTTATTTTATTTGTTTGTAAGGGAGAGCNGTTAATTTAATAGTTATTATAATCATAAACTCAAGAAAGAAAGACATATGTGTAAATTTTAATTACTTCTCCAGGTATGTGTAAATGGTATAGGTATGTGTAAAATTTTAAATATTTTTAAGTGAACTGAGAAATATTGATAAAAAGGAAGAAAATCTTGTTTAAATTTTTTTCAATTAAACTGTTCTTTTTCTTTTTTTTTAACTATTTAACTCAATGAATTTTCCGGAATTTTGACTTGGGCTCACAATCACCCCTGTTAATGTTGTTTAATTCATAATAATTTGGAATGCATTTTTCTCAAGTTTTGTGTTATCATGCAAACTAAAATATTTTTCATTAAAAAAGTTGTAACATGTGCAATAAAAATGGATAAGTACCAATTTTTTTGGTATGAGTTACCAACTGATTATCAGTTACCTTATACTTTTTGTATTATATACACATCGATCTTAAATTTTGGTCTGAGCTAATAAAAGTGATTAAAAAATATTCAAGAATGTGCATAGTTACTATGAAATAGGTTCACACGTATCTGCTACCCAAAACTAATAATTGTAACTTCGCTCAAATAGAACTTATTACTGTATTCGCAGTATTTTTCACTCCCCACTAATAAATTTTATAAAATTTGTAGTATTGCGTTCAAAACCATAATGCTTATGTTTACAGTAAAAAATAGCTGTGAGTTTGTAGTAGTTCAGCTGTTGTAACTGTGTATATTGCTGAAACCAAGTGATATGTGTTATTAAAGTTAAGTACTTGTCTTGTCCATGTTTTTGTTTGTGATTCAAGTTAATATCTAAATTTTCAATATTTTCTGGAAGTTTTTTTCTTTTTTTTACATTTTTATTATAAAAATTTGCAATTAACTGAGTCTAAATTATTAAAACTTCTTAAGATGGATTCTAATTTTTCACTGAGATTTTAATTTAGGATTTTGCTGATTTTTTTATGTAATGAGTAGACTATTTTATTATTATTTTATAACCGTCGTTGAACAGCTGACTCAACTTTTTGGGCTTACTGATGTTCAACTCCGTAGCCTTGTAATTCCGAACCTAATCCAGAAGACAAGGGAACTCCTGGATCAAGTATCAGAAGAAATTTTGCCTTTGTGCAGAACTTTTTAATGGAGCTAACCCGCATTTGTGTTACATGGAGAGAAAGACCATGAGAACCTCCCATGGTAAGCCTCACGGCAAAGGGACTGTAAGCCATGATCCGTCTATCACTGAGGATATTTTGTGTCTACACTGTAATCAGTGCAAGCCGGGCGTAGAATTCTTATCGACCAGCCACGCAGGGATTTGAACCCGGTTCACGCCATTAGAAGTTGAACGTTCTATCCCCTGAGCCATCAAGGCTCAATAAGTAGACTATGTTCAGGATATCTGCGCACCTGGAAAGTCATGGATTTCGGTATTGAACAAAATTTGTCATGATTTTAAATATTTTTTGAAAATATGGAAAGTCATGGATTTTGGTTGCGGAAAAATCTAATTTTTAAAATGGAATTTACACGGTGTTCTGAATACCTGAATTTGTAACAAAAAACCCCACTCAAAATTATATTTTATTAAAATATAAAATGTTTTTATCCTGTTCCTTTAAAAAATGTAAGAAAGAACATCATTTCTAGAGCAAATTATCTTTTAAACTTCTGTGATTTCAGAATTTTTTATTTATTTACTATTTTTATTTTATCAATTTAAAATTCTAGCTGAAGCAAGCCAGTCATTGTCGAATAAGGAGAAAAGAATCTTATGAATATAAAATGAAATGATTGCAGAAAAAAAAATGAAAAACAAATTTTCTTTTGTATTTTTTTCCAGCTATTTTATTGCTTTAACGCTTTCTTAACTCTGTTTTTTAAATATAAAATATATAAATATGAAGATGCAGAGTATAACAATTTTGGTTATACCTATCATTTCAATTAATGTTATTATAATGCTTTTTAAATTTATTGTTGTGTTTTTTTCGGAGAAAATAGTAACTTCGTTAAGTCGTGAAAAATTCTTGTAATTAGTCATGAAAAGTCATGGATTTGAAAATCTAAAGTGTGGCAGATACCCTGTATGCTCAATGCACCTATAAGTTTAAATGTTTCCCCTTAGAGAGTCTCTTCCTCTGTATATAAACCTTGTATGCCTATTGGCAGATAAAAATTTATCAATAACTATATAATTATTTACTTATTTATTTTTCTTACAGGACCAATATCAAAGAGACCTAAATGGTATGTTTGACAAGCTTGATGAACAAAGAATGGTACATACTGTTTTATTTTTGTTATATTTAGTTTTTGATTACAATAAATAATATTTCATGAAAAATTTAGTGCCTACTCTAATCACTTAATTTTTACTGGTAGATTTCTTTGATTAACTGTATAACATGGTGCGTTGCATTTGAAAGAAGTGCTTATTTTTGTTTTTTAAAAGCTCTCAAAGGTGCTTTTTTGCATTTTTAAAAAGTGCTTAATTTTCCCTTTCCGAAATTAAGATTTTTTTCCTATCTTGTCGATTTTTGCTCCGTATTATGCAAAAGCTTGCTTTTCACATTGTTCTATCCAATGTCTTCACAATTCATTCAACCACAATCAATTTTAGTGTGTCATTCGTCCGTAACGTGTGATAGCGCCAATCATGTTACATGTTTGATTAAATATTTGGGAGTGACTACTTAGCTGGGTTTGGTGAGATTATTGCACTCTCATGTGCAACTCTGCTGAATTTTACGAGATATTCTCAATGTCAGGCTTCATTTTCCACCCTCTGAAATCGAACCGAAAATCTCTCTATCTTTTTGTAATGGCTAATATAATCAAGAAAAGAGTTCTTTGTCAGAAAGTGGTTATTTTATCATGATCGTGTAAAGTGATTGAAAATTATTTTGCTTTTTGTTAATGTATATAATGCTTAAAAATATTTTTGAGTGCTTGAAAAGTACTTTAAAGGTGCTTAATTTTTGTTGAGAGATTTGGCTATGCGCCCTATACAACTTTCTATTCGAAATCCAAATTAGAGTTAATATGTGATTGCTTCCCTGCTCAGTTATTTCTTCCCATGGTATGAAATAAAGAAACTGCTTGATTCAACAATAAGCTTGTAACTTGTATCAATAGCTTTGGTTATTACAAGCAATAAATGTACAAAGAGTCCTAAACCTAACTTAAATATGGAGATTTTTATTAAAAAAAATTATTTTCCCCTTACGTTTTCTTGTTATAACTGCAGAATTTCTTATTGTAGCTCAAAAAGTTCTGTAAAAATTGCACAACATGAGCATTTAAAGACATCCTTTCATACTATGCAAGTGCGGAAAATATTTAATTTTTTTCATAATTTTGTTCTGAATTGTATTTGGTAATTTATGAAAAAAATCTGACTTGAATACCTTGAAAATGTAAATACTTTCTAGCCATTTAAATACATTTTGTGAATTTGGAACAAAAACTTTGTCTGGTAAGAAGTTTACAACCAATTTTATTTTTTACTATTAACCTAGATTTATTAAAAATGACATCGGAATTATGTAGGACCACTCACTTGCAAATTACGTTTTATTTCCCAATACCATCATATTTTGTTGTTTAAACCATCATTTTATTGTATTATCATTTGTTATTAAATTTGAATGAAATTTGTGTAAAACTCCTTGCCCTCTAGAGCTTTCAATAAAGAAGTACAAAAGCTACCTAAAAAATTGCTAGAATCTTTTTACATTTTTAAGGTGTTCAAATCAGACCATTTTCTTAAGTTACCAAATACGATTCAAAATAAAATTGTGAAGAAAAAAAACTGAAATGTTTTCTGCGCATTTGCAGTATGAAAGAATTACTTTGCTAAAAATTTTATAAAATCTCATATCTTAAAAAAATTTTAACGAATATTTTTCTAATTTGAAAATTGGTAATTTCATCATTAAGTAAAAATTAATCTAAAAAAGTTGTTCAATGTTATTGAATATTTCTGACATTTTAGTAAGGAAACCCACTGCAAAAAAAATCAGTTTTTTAAAAAAACAATGTCTATATTTCCATGAATATTTAAGCTAGATTTACAAAATTTTGTGCAGTTTTTGCATATGATGACCCAAGTAATTAGTATAAGTTGAAAGCTTATCGTTATATATTTTGGCATAGGGTGTTCAAAAACTTTATTTTTATTATTTGAATTTATTATTGTCCTTTACACTTCTAAAAGCTTTAAACTTTATTCATATGAAATATTTACCCCGACCTGCGCCGATTTAGGGCATACGGGTAAATGTTTATTAAAATCAAGAAAAACAGAAAAGTACATAAAATACAAAAAGTAACATTACAGAGTAACATTATGTAAACATTACAGATTCTGATGGCAACAGCAGTAAAATAATTAAAATGCTCCGAGAGTCCCGCCTTATAGTGCCGAAGCCGACGGGGCTTCCCTTATAGTGAGCCAAAGACACAAATGAAAAATTTTACAACACATCGCAGTGATGTATTCAAGAACAGTAAAACATGAAGTGAACCATTAAAAAAAAACGTGTACCTGAAGTGAACATAAGAAAACATTAAAAGGTCACAGGTAAACGGAGGTCCTAAGTTAATATAGGTCAAAGAACCAATACAGTCGATGACAAATTGACAACAGGTAAGACAGAAGAACAAGGCGTAATGAGCCAAGAAAATCTCAAATGTAAAACAAAAGGAGGTGAAGATGTAAAGTGGTAAAACAAACAATTATCAAATACAATTAAAAGGCGACGCTAAAATTTGCAAAGCAAGGAAAGGCAATGTAAATAAGCCAATTAAAAAGCACAATGTAGTGAATAAATAGATTAAAACAGAATTAAAAAGCGAATGAGATAGATAAAACAACAAAACGTTGTCAAAATAACGGGAAGCGAACAGGCGGGCAGCCCAACAACCGGGACTGAGATTAATTCGTGTAGAGCGGATCCAAAATGTCATCAGGGGCGAGTGCGTCCTCCAGGGTGCGTTTAATGATGTTTTTAATAATTTGCCTCTGTTTATTAGTCCTGCACCAAGATCTTATGTCGCCTCTTCTGTCAAAACTATTTCCCCTAATGGTTGCAAATTTTTGACAGTCAAGCATCAGATGTTTAATAGTCTGATAGTGACCGCAATATTTGCACGCGGAGGATTTTTGAAACATCCTAGCTTGGTGATCGCCAAATACACCATGGGAAGTTAAGAACTGATTAAAGTAAAAATCGCTGGATAAAAAACATTCGTTAACTGTAGGTATCAAATAGTGTGTGTGTCTCCCGTTTGCAGAGCTGCTCCACCTGTCCTGCCATAAAATCCTACTGACCTGCCTCTGTCTATGTTTGACCTGGGGTTTTGTTATGGTGTAGTGAAAGTCCACCCCGCCCAATAAGGTGCCCTTTTTGGCTAAAATATCTGCTTCCTCGTTGCCAGGCTCCCCCGAGTGGGCTTTAATCCAATTGAATAAGCATTGTTTGTTTATCAAACTTTATTCATATGTAAGAAAAATTGCATGACCCTTAAAGTTTTAAAATTTGATAATTTTAAAAGTATTTCTTAAGAAATATAAAAAAATGAGTTAGTGTAAAAGTATTTCCAAAATTTTGTCCCTTCCTCTGTATATTGCTAGTCGCAGTATAGTTTAGCAGCAATTAAATTTATTTTGTCGCTGTTGTGTTGCGTAATTTCTGATTTATTATTAATTACTGTAAGCAGTTTATGATGCCTTTTAAAACTGTCCCGAGAAAGAACTGTGGATGCTGTTGGGTTTAATAGCAAAATTTATTTTTATATGTTTTATAATGATATCAAGTCTTTATTATTGAATTGTGTTTTTTCAGAAAAGAGATGTGCCTGACTACTTGTGTGGGAAAATCAGCTTTGACATAATGCGTGAACCAGTTATAACACCCAGTGGTATTACTTATGATAGAAAAGACATAGAAGAACATTTGCAGGTTTGTAATATATATATATGTATATATTTAGCATACAATTTATTATTCTCTATCATTAATACACTCAATGTCACTGCGTAAAAGAAAATGTAATTTAATACGAAAAGAAAATAGCAAAAACATAGCTGCTAACTCTACTGACTATATCAGTAGACTACTGAATTTTACCAGTTTCTCCTGGTCAACTGGTTTGATAAAAGTTATTCTGGTTTTTGCACATTTTCAAAAATTTCCTTAATTGAGTAACTTTCCTAAAAAAATCTCTATTAAAATAGAATTTTTTGCTTACTTGAATATTTAAGTAAGTACTGCTAATATAAAATGAAGTGAGCCTCGCTGTTAGTAATTCGTTAAAAGCTTCTTTTTTTTAAATTTTCAGTTTATTTTTATTCAAAAATCCTTTTTAAGTTAATTAAAAAAATTTAACTTTTTTTAAAATTACTAACTAGCTTTATTGCTATTAAAATGAATTAACATAATAAAAAATATATAAAGTTCATTGAAGGTCGATCATAAACAGAAAATATTTCAGACCATTTATAGTAATTATAGTGATAAAGTTTTTGCATTTTGATGACAATAAAAATCCCTAAAATTCCCTATATGTAAAATATTTAATATATTTACTACAGTTATCATGAAATTTATATTATTTTATGAAATCTACTGGGTTATTTCTTATCCATGTTAGCAGCTATACAAAAACATTCTAAATTGATAGTTGTCTAAGAAACACAACTAAGAATTTAAAAATTTCATTATCTATTTTTTTTTTTAATTTTTAAGTTCAGGTTTAAAAATAAAAAAAAGGCAAAATGAAAGTATTTTTTATAGTTAAGAGTTATTATAATATTGTTAATTATATTGTTATTAATTATAATTAAACCTTAAAATCCAGTATTGTACAAATAATTAGAATTTTTGTTTTGAAGTGGAATATTTTCTTTAATTTGATTTCTCTTGTACAAGACAAAATCAGGTAGTTCAACAAAGCCCAATTACATAGCTGAATCCATTAGATAATTAGAAAAATAAAAATGTCACAGTAACTGCTAACTATTGTGTAATATTTAAAATATTTTGAACTCATATATTTTTTGGATTTTTATACTCAATGAAATAAAAAAAAACTGCATTCCACTAATTACTATAAACATAAATTTAATGGCATATTTTCTGTTTGTCATTGACATTAAATGAACTTGGATATAGATTATTATTATTTTGAATTCATAAATTTCAATAACAGAGAAATTATAATTTTGGAATACTGAAAGGAAGAAAAGTTTCAAACTGATCTAAAATCAGCTTACTTCATTATTTAGCAGTAATACTTATTTTAAATAGTCAAGTGAATAATGAACGAACAAATGAAAAATTTTTTTTTTATCTTTATAAGGTTTTTTAAATTTTTTTAAAGGAATGTACAAAAATTAGGGAAATATTTTATTAAACCAGTAGACCAGGAGAAAGTGGCAAAATCCAGTAGTCCAATTCAAAAATCCTGAAAATTTCTCGAGTAAAATCATTAACGACACATTTCAAAACATTTATGTCTTTATAAATTTAAATCATTAATATTTTCAGAACATGAAATTCTAAATAAATTATATGCAGCTTAATTTAAATGAATAATTATTTATAAGTTTACTTTTATCTCTAATCACATTTATTATTCTACCAGAAAAAATATTAACGAATGAAAGAGATGCCAAGCATAAATTCTAGTTCTAATATTTTTAAATAAAATATACAAGAATTTTTATTCATAAATGTGATAGATGATTTCTTGAAACTTCTGGACCTTGGATTTCCGGATCGCGTTTTGCGAAAAATCCGGAAAATGGGATTTTTCCAAAACTCTCTGCTATAGGAAAAACCAGTAGAGTTGACAGCTATGCCACTAGATTGCCCATTCTAACCTTAACAAAACCTGTGTCTCTCTACACTCATTGACATCTGCAAGCAACCACCTAGGGTAAAGTTTGCTGAAGTACTGAAAAAAACATTATTAGTTCTTGGAGTTTCATCATCACAATTACCCCTTTTCCAAAAAGAGATATTTTTTTGTTTATCAAGTCGTTTGTGCTCACATTGTTTCATTTCATTATTCATTCAACTGCAATCCATTCTGGTGTACAGTTGCACCGTAGCATATAAAAGCACTAATCATTTTAAATGTATGATGAAATAGTTGTTGGTCTGCTTTATTCCATGGGAAGGATTCTTGGACTCATGTGTGCAACTCTCTTACATTTTGCTTCATTTTCTGCCCTCAGAAATCGAACTGAAAAATCTTTCAAAATTTTGCTGATCACGGGGACCAACTAAACCAAATTTATTTCCCTAACAGCAAAAGAAAATTTTATTCCTCTTGTTAACTTGATTGTTGGTGAAGTGTCACTGTCTTCAATGCTCGTTGTATTTACATTGCAAAAATATTGAAAAAAAATTATTATCTTTTCATTGAAGAAATACTGAACCAAGTAAGAAATTTTTATAAAAATTAAATTGGGGCTGTTCACTAATTTTCATTAGAAATATGAATTTATTAATGTTTTCTTATGTTGCTTCATTCGTTGTATATCTTTATAAGTTAAGTATGATCAATAATATTAATCTTGTTAATATTTTTGTTGAATATGCTTCCATAAATAACTTTTATTTAAATGTAAAAAATCCAACCAGTAACTTTCTTAATTTTTGGTTTAGTTAATTATAATTTTATATACTATACTAATTAATTTTATAATTTTTTTTTCAATTTCATATTAATTATAATTTTATTATTACTTTATTATTTAATTTCATGAATTTATAATTTTATTTTTAATTTCATATGATTTAATTTTATTTTTAATTTCATATGATTTAATTTTATTTTAATACGCTTCCATAAATAGCTTTTATTTAAATCTAAAAAATACACCAAGTAACTTTGTTAATCTATGGTTTAAGTATTTGAAATTTATTTTTTGTATAATTAAATAAAATAATTATTAATTTAAAAAATAGAATGAGCAACTCAATTTTGAAATTTTTTTTTATTGTGGCTAATATGATCAAGAAAAGAATTTTATATGATGACAGAACTGCCTAAAAACATCCTTACAAACCAGCATTAGCTGAATCCAATCATTGATTTTATTTTTAAAGGCTCCAAAGCATAATACATACTTTCCCATTCTCCTCTTTTTTAACGAAGGCTCCTGTAATTTACGATTATCTCCTGTTTACCCATATATTCTCAAATATCTCCGTATTTATTGAAGAAATTTATTTAAAAAAATTTTGCTAATAAAATATCCGATGATGTCAAAAATACTTCTCTTATTCCTCAACAGATAGTACTATTGCCAGCACTGCAGTATGTTGAGTGTTAAAAGTTTAAGTAAAAATATCCTAATCGGTAGATGGATCATGGGTTAGAGTCCCCTTGCCGTCAGGCTAGCCGTGGCAGTGTTTCGTGATTTTCCACTCCATGTAACGCAAATGGTGATTAGTTCTATCAAAAAGTCCTTCACAAGGATAAATTTCTCTCAATACTTGATCCAGGAGTTCCTTCGACTTCTGAATATGGTTCAAAATTACAAGGCTACGGAGTTGAACATCAGTAGTTCAAAAAATTGGATCGGCTGTTCAACAACGGTTATAAAATAAAATAGTTTAAGTAATTATAAATAATGGTTTAAAAAATCTTTTTTAGATTAAGATTTATCTACATATTTTTTACCTCACTAAATGTAGGAGCTTACATTGTTTCCAATTTTGAATTTTCTCTTTTTGACTTGCATGATGTACAGGTAAAACTTTACTAGTAGCCTAAGAAATGTCACTAGTAAAATCTCTGTTATTTTATTTCTCCAATGTTGGCAGGTATGATAATATGCTATGCAAGTGGCATTTAGTGTCTGATAAAGTGAATATTTTTATAAAATCAATTGTTTTAAACTTTTTCTCCATTTACAGCGAGTCGGACATTTTGACCCAGTCACGAGGACACCTTTGACACAAGACCAGTTGATTCCAAACCTTGCATTGAAAGAGGTAGTGGATGTCTTTATAGCAGAGAATGAATGGGTTGTAGATTATTAGCCATTTTTTATTATTGTTATTTTATTTTTTAAATAATGAAATTTCCGTTTTTTCATGACGACACTGATATCCATATATATTTCAAATTAATTCCTTTTTTAAAATACAACGTTTGTGAAATGTTTTTGTTTTGATGCATATCATTTAATGTAAAATAAGATAAATTATATTCCTGTTCGTATATAAATGAATAAAAAGTCTTCACGTGTGTGTTTAATATCTCTCTCTCTTTAGTCCTTACTTAATTTTATTAATACTTATTGTCTTTTTTTGAATGCATTTCAAGAAAAAAGTTAAGAGCAGCAGTTTCCAATCTTTTTAGCTATAAAGACCACCAATTTTGTAAAATCAAAAATTGCAGCCTATTTACTAGTAGATATGCAAGTAAAAAATATAATGAAAATGTTCCTCATATATGTATGATGAATATGTATATAGGTAATATTCAATAGATAACTTCTTCTTTGTCAGCGCAACAGCCCCTTGCAAGCCTTGGCTGCCTCAACAGCTGACAAACGCCAGCGCCTCCTATCCAAGGCAACTCCCTTCCAATTTCTAATCTTTAGGGTTTGCAAATCATTTTCCATGTTGTTGAGCCATCTAGTATGGAGTCTGCCTCTGGGGCGGGATCCCTCGGAGTTCTCAAAGGTGACGATTCTCATGGCGCTATTTTCAGGACTTCTCCATAGATATCCCAGCCATATCAGCCTACTATTACAGATTATTTGAGTAATTTGGGGCTGTTTATAGAGTCGGTAGAGCTTGAAGTTATATCTGGTTCGCCAGCATCCCCTTTCTTGAATTGCGCCGAAGATGGTTCTGAGGATCTTTCTTTCGGAGGTGTCTAGCGTCTGCTGTATATCTGAGTTGAGTTTAGATAACTAGGACTTGTAAATAGACAGGGTTAGTCCTAGGTCACCAAATGAAATTACAATTGCCACCTCCTTGCAGCATTCCTATAGCAATATGGAACTGAACTTTTAACATGGCATTTTTCATTGAACCTGAAGTGACATATGTATTTTGTTGAATTTTAATAACATGAAAAAAATTAAATATATTAAGAACTTGGATTTTTGATAGAAAATAATCTGTTTGATAAAATAGCATCATTGATTTTTAGTTTAAGGGTTCTTTAAAATGTGTGTGTTCGGTAACGAAGGATTGGTTACAATTTTTAAGGTGTTCCCAATTAATCTTACAAAATTTATTATTTCATTAATTCTTTAGCAGAAAAATCAAAATTAGTTGAGATAGACGAAAATGCTGTTTAAGCTATTCATGTGGGTTTGAAGGGCAGAGAATAATTAAGAATATAAACACCAACAAAATTAAAAGTTATTTACTGAAATGAAACTAAATTATAGGTTTTAAAACAGATTTTGTTTAAAAAAATATTTATTATAAAGTTTAAGACTGCTTGATTATCGTTTTTTTTTTTTTTTATGTATGGGGTAAAACTTTTTCAAAGACTATAACATACATTTTTTCAAACCTTGAAGAAGTAAAGTTGAAAATATTGCAGGTTGCAAGCTAATACAAGTGTGAAAAAAATTATCTAATTCTAATGACTCGAAGACAAAAACAGTCAATTTACTAATCTAGTACAATAGCATATACTAAATTTAAAATGAAAATATTATTAATTATCGGTAAAAATAACAATAAACTATCATATTTTTATGTGTGAGAATGTGGGTAAGTTTGGAATAATTTCGAGTTCATAAATTTATAAAAACATTTCCATTTTAAATAACAATTAGATGTTATTAAAAATTTCTATGCATGTAATATTTAAAAAAACACAGTTTATTATTAATAATTTAACTTTACAATTGCACAATTCTACCTCTTCTTCATTACAGTTTAGAAAAAATTTAGCAACAATAAGTGATCATATTCTATATTCAGAAATCATACTTAGTATAATGGAACATAGTACTATGTTTCTGTTTGTAAATTTATTACTTAATAACGCACAATTTATTTAAATGTGGGGCTGTATGAGGCATTAATGTTATTATGGAATTCATAAAAGCCTGAGAATGATTTTAATGAAAAATTAAATCATTTATGTGGATTTAAACAGAGCCTGACAAAGGCAGGGGCATTTGCCCCATATCAGAGGGGGCCCCCAAATGGAATAGAAAGTTAATTTTAGGTTTCCTTCGTTAATGAACTGTTTTTTAAACAAAATAGCAGTTTAGTATAAAATTCGTCAGTTTTATGGTAACTTCTTCATTAATCTATCATATGAACACAAAAAATCCATGTAAATCTAGGACTTTCTAGTGCTTTATGGAATTCAGCTAAATTTTCGTAATTACGATCGACAAATTTGACCAATCAACTGTATTTTTACGTATCACAAAATGCGATATATTTACAAAAATACAGGCTTCTGATTGGCTTAAGTGTGCCATCATAATTGCGAAAATTTAGCTGAATTCCTCCCTAATGTCAGCAAGGATATAAATTTTTTGCAGCTAAATGACAAAGTTAACAATCAGAAAACTGCTAGGCATGATGGACATAGAATTGTCAGAAAATCAAAAAAATAAGACAGTACGATATTTCGTCCGACCTTTGGGGGGGGGGGGGGAGACTTTATAGCTATTTTAGGTTCTAGTTAATCTTCTTGTTATATACGTAGAATGAGGTGAAAAATTTAAATAGCTCCATAAAGTTCCCTTCTTCATTACTGAAGCAGAGGGGGCCCAATTAATCTAAGTCGTGCCCTGGATATGAAAGCTGTCTCATAAATTGTATATGAATATAGGCTAAGATAAAACAATTATTTTTGGTCTGCACACAGTACGTTGAGGGTTAAAATTATTGTAATTAGCAGCGATTTAAGTGCAAATTATGAGGAAATAAATTTCCGTCTGTCTTCATTCTGTTATTGTATTTTAGATAATATATTTTGATACAGCAAGTGTGAATCCAGATAAAATTAGATCCTTTTCTAACGTGATAAGTAGAAAAATTTCGTTTCCAATCAATTACATTCTTATTGAATTGTTATAGACGAATTGCACTGTTACAGACCGTTTTTAACTAATTAATATTTATAATTAATTTTCTTTCCTTAGCACTTAATATGGCACATCTTAAAATGATTTAAAATATTTTATACATTAACCTTCAACGCACAGCGGTCAGGTTCAGGGATGAGATTGGCAAAAAAGCTGAATTTCCACGTGAGTAAATTTTACGCGTGTGCAATCGCTTAATAAATTCCTGACAATTTAAGATAACAAAAATTGCTATTTTCGTTTGAAAAAATTACAAGATAATCAGCAACTGTTTAGATAATTATTTTTCATATGATAAGAAATTCGCATTTTATATCATAAATAACAGCAGCATTATTTCTTATATATCGGTGCTGAGTTAATCAACTCTTTTTCCACAAAAAGTTGAAGAATTTTTTGTGATTGCTTTTGTTTGCTATGTCTTTTTTGTTGCCTAATTTGCTGCAAACGTTTTACAAAACAAGCAAAAATTCCTTTAACAAGGTCAAATTTCTCATAATGCAGCTTGTTAATGAATGAGGAAAAACAGATTGGTGATTAATTTAGTCGTTAGCCCATCTTCAAACATATTCTCACAAATCCTATTTTTTCTTTCTTTACCTGCCTTTGTCACATTCTTCTTTGCAAGCACAGAATGTAAATTTTAAATATGCCTATATATGCTAATAATTGTTGATAGAAAAACAGTCACATTTATAGTAACTAATTTTAAAAAAAACCTACTTCTTACAAGAATCGCGATAATTGATTTTAAACTCGTGTGAATACGAATCGTAACATAGGTTTTTAAAAACGCGTAAATACAAATAGTGATATTGGATTTTTAAATGTCGTAAATAAGAATCATATTGTAGTATATTCAAATCGCGTGAATAAGAATCGAAATGTTAGCAAATTCCGGGCTTGAGACTTTTAAAAAGCTTGTTTGAATTACGAACTATCTGCCGGGCGGGTAAAAATGAGGAAAATCGTATCTTCTGTGAGTAAAAGCAGCGAAAATAGCTAAAATGTAAAAATGTGGATGGATTGACAGATATGTAGATTGAATTTTCTGTTTATCTTTGAAAATCGGAAATAAATATAATTCTTTTATTTCAACGGTTAAATTTTTCGAAAAAGCAAAATATTTATTTAAAAAAAGTGAAACGTTTAGATACTCGGAGTTTTTGATAAAAAAGCTGATATTCGAGACACAAAAGTAAAAAAAGCGGAAAAATCTCAGCCCTGCAGGTTGGCAGAAAAGCTTAAAGCCAACTTTTTGCGACATAACCAAGATTTTGTGATGGCCTCTCTCAAAAAATATATTCCTTTTAATTGTCTTGAGAATGAGGGATGTTTTATTTTTATAAATAATCTCATTCAGTTTTAATTTTAATGTTTCACAATTAGAATTTCAAAGACGGATTAAAATATTTAGATAATGTGTATAAGCTAAATACAAGCAAAATTTTAAACAAAAATTATTAATATATATATTTTTTTTTTATGTGTGGAAATCATCCACTATCATATCATAAAATTCTGGAAAAAGAACTAGAGCTAGAAAAAGAAAGATTAATATTGTGGAAAGAGTCGTAACGACCTTGTCAACCTTCATCTATGAAAAGGTACCCCAACATAGAATCGAGTTACCATGTCAATATACTAGTGCACTGAAATTATATATTTGTAGTGGTAGATGCACTACAGTACTCCCCCACCAGAATTATAGCTGTGATGTAATTCGATGAATAGATACCAATAGTTGATTCATTGCTGTTTTGTGATAGGCCGGGAGAGCTGTATTAAGATCACCGTACTTTGGTGTGCTGCTCATGAGAGCTGTTTTAAGTTTACGATCGGGGGTCGCTCTTGTGTTACATTGTACGTGATCGAGACTGAGTGGCATCAGCGCGAGGAAGTGGATAATGTCGCAGTCACAAGTCAACTATTCAATGTGGACCATCCATCGAAGTAGGCGTGTTCAGTTCGAAGTGGGCGTTACTGTAAAGATAGATGTGTTCATATCGAAGTGGGAGTTTCTGTCAAGGTAGGCATGTTTACATCACGTCCGAAGGTCATCAATGTGGGAAGAGTTGTAATCGACAATGTTAACTTCCTCTATGAAAAGGTACCCCAACACAGAATCGAGTTAACTTGTCTTATATACTAGTGTACTGGAATTATATATTTGTAATCGTAGAT